TATGATCTTCTCATCCTGTTATCTGAAGCTATGTGTGTCTGAAAAAAATATTTTTTTAACCTCTAGGTTTTATATGTGTGGATTTATCTATTTATTTATTAATTTGAGTCCAGAGCTTACTATGTACTCACTACACAGGGCATTCTGGCCTCAAACTCATAGCAATCCTCCTGCCACAGCCTCCTGAGTGCTAGGATTACAGGCATGAGCTTTCATACCTGGCTAACCTCAAGTTTTAAGGCAATCATTTAAAGCTCTAGATTCTGGCATGGCAACAGGTTAAAGGTACACACCTTTTATCCCGGCACATGGGAGGCAGAGGCAGAGGCAGGTTGATCTCTGAATTTGAGGCCAATCTGGTCTACATAGCAAGTTTGGGCCAACCAGATGTAGAAGGAGGTCTCAGGCAGAAAAAGAGAAAGAAAAGGAAGGGACATCCAGGCATGGCAAAAAAGGAGGATCAGCCCATGGTCAAGATCACATGGCATGGTGACATGTCCTTAAAGTCCCAGCTGCTTGGGAGGACGAGGGAGGAAGATCACGTGAGGCCAGGTGTTTGACGTGAGCCTGGTCTCAAGAAAGCTACAGTTAAATAGAAGGAATAGTATGATATAGACAATTAGGACTTCTCAAGGAGACACCGTGGCAGCCCAGAACTAATAAAAGTAAGACATCCTTATTCTCAGAGAGGCTGTCAAAGCATGAGGGCATGCATTCTTGAGTTTGTTTGTTGTTTATATTTGTTTTCAAAACAGGTTTTCTCCATATAACAGCCCAGGCTGTCCTGGAACTCACAGGCTGACCTTGAACCCACAGAGGTCCACCTGCCTTTCCCTCCCAAGTGCTGGGATTAAAGGCGTGTGCCACCACTGCCTGGCAGACAAGTAGGTTTGTTTTGAGAATTAGGAACGATCAGGACACTCAGGGTGAAAGTAAGCCAGCCTGATGTAGCGTAGGTAAGGAGATTGCTGTGGTATTTAGGAACAAAACCTTACTCGTAACAAACAACCCTAAAAAATTATACAATCCCTAGAAACGGTATACTGAGTTTTCAAATATAAAACTCTCCGTATTTCGCTAAGTTTATTTGTACACTATGCAGTCTAGGCAATTTTGATATGCAATCTTGAAACACATCCACCAAAGGAGATATAATTGCCACTCGCAGATGAAGACACAAGGGTGTCGTGATGATTGGAACATGAATAAGTAGCTGATGTGTCTGGAGGGTGTGGTACAGGAGCAGAGTGTTTTCATGGAAGTCCCACGGGGCTTTTGCTTTTGGCTGCTTCCATGGGTCTGTGCTTATCACCACACCAGCATTACATACTACCACCACAGTATCTATTAAGCATTGTTCACATCTTGTTTCCAGTAGATGTGACCCTTGACCCTGGGAGTAATAACACAGTGAACACAGCCCAGCTCTGAAAGAGTCAAGGGGGGCAAGTCAATGGCAACTCAGTGCAGGGAAAGAATGTTCCATGGGGTTATAAAAGTGTGCAGGGGGAGATGGCTGGGAAAGGCTTCCTGGAAGAAGAGGGAGCAGTTAAACCACATATTCAGGGAAGGATACAGTCTAGACAGAAGGCTCGAGGAAGTGCTGGGTCACAGAGCAGGTAACGGACCTCGAGGTATTTTTAAGAGCAGTGTACTTCCTTATTTACCTTGTGCAGAAGTGTTATGCAAGGAGGTAGTTGAAGATTCACAGGGAGTGCTGAGACTAATGTGATCAGAAAGATGAAATGAAGGAGTTTGAAATTTTAATGCAGGAAATGATGAGCTGTCAGTTAAGCTGAGAGGTGGGGATGGGACCAGCGGCAGCAATTCCAGGCAAGCTGAAATGTTTCTATTTCTGGCTGAAGCTTTGAATACTGTATTCTTTCTTCTTTTCATATGGGGGCTGGGGGTCCCCAGCGTTTATTTACCTAGCTGGTGTTTGGCCTGGACGTGGAGCCATTTCTCCTTTGAGGAGGTTAGGTTGGGCTTTTTTGCTGAGGTAGTTGAGTGCCAGGGAGAGAAAATGGGCCTGCAGTTAAGATCTGGAGAGCTAAGCAACCAACAGGGAAGAGAACGGGCTAGAATTAAGCCCACTGTTTGAGGAAGTGACTGTCACTCAAGTCCTGTTGCTCTTGCTGTGACAGAAATGACGTAGAGTAGTAATGTCTCAAAAAGTGTCCAGCTCCTCCTGTCTGTGGCGCTGGGTCCCAGATACTGTGCAGGGAAATTTGGGGCATCCACCTAAGATTGCTTTCTTCTCTGTTTCCAGAAAGAACAGAGGACATGGGAAGGGGAGGAGTGGATGTGTCCCTGGGGCTGCCTGGACACTAGGGTCATGGCATGGCACAGCAGAAAATGTCCACATAAGTCTTTGGAGTTTTAAAAATACTCTTAAATGTTTATTAGTTGTGTGTATTTGCCATGTGTGTGTTGGTGATGGTGGAGGCGGTGAGAGGGAGTCAGAGGTCCCTCCTCAACCCACAGCTGGAGTTCTAGGCAGTGCTGAATTACCTGTTATGGGTGCTGGGAATTGAACTCAGGTCCTTTGGAAGAACAACAGGGGCTCTTAACCACTGAGATATTTTTGCAACCCCAGTCTTAGGATTTTTTTTTTTTTAAATGCAAAATTAGGATGTGAGGGTGATCTGGTTGGGACATTTGTCATCTCATTGAGCGCCAGGGTTGCTTTGGCTGATCTGGCTGGTTAGATGGGTGTTCCCTTCCTCCCTCACGACTCCTTTCTAGTCCCTCTCGAGGGGGCTATTGGTTGAAGAAGGGGACCTTCCCCTACTAGAACCTCCAAACAAACTTTCAAGTTTCTTTTAAATGAAAAATTATTTAAAGCGTTCTTGCCTATCAGGTGGGGCCGATGTGAGGACAAGGTACCCTCAAGCACAGGCCCGAGGGAGGTTCAGGGCTCAGGAGTCAGTACTCAGTTTGACCAGGCATGGTCTGGGAACTCCCTCAGAGCAGCTGTTGCGCTGTATCCAGAACTCCTGAGAGTGATAACGTGTCTTTATATAACTGGCTTGAAGTTGTCCTTCTGTTCCTTAAGATGAGGGTAATGGCTGTAGTCTGCCCAGTGCCCATGGCAATGCAGAGGGACACCAAAGAATAGGAAGGAATGGAAGCAATGGCCAGGGTGCTTCCCTAGTGTGTGTGAGGCCCTGGATTCTACCCCATCCCCTCCACAAATCTGAATAAGTAAATAAATTAAAATCTTTTGTTTTGTTCAATGTGGTTTGGGATCAGTTTTGGAGACAGGTCTCATTTTGTAGCCTAGGCTGGCCTCACACTGGTGACAATCCTCCTGCCCCAGCTTCCCACGTGCTGGTAATATAGATGTGAGACACCATACCTGACAAAGAATTAAATGGAAATGTGAGTCCTGGATCATGTGGGCAGTTCACAGTATTCAGCACACCTGTCTGTCTGAGGCCTTCCACAGGGGATGGTTGAGGGAAGGTTCCCACCAGGTCTTGTGTGGATTTTTCTCATATACTATGATACAGTGAACTGAGAGGAAGGGTCTAGACTAAAGAGTGATGGTTCCTGCCCATCCTTTCTCTTACTGTATTTGATATATGAATCTCCCCACTGGTTGTGGTCATGAATGAGTGCTTTTGCCTTTAAAGCAAAACAAAGTTACAATTAACATACTTAATACAAACACCCAAGTGTTGGATGTGATGGCAAATACTTGCCTGTAATCCTGTCCTTAGGGAGGCTGAGACGGAAGGATGGAGAGTTCAAGGCCTCAGCAGTTGAGGTGGCTTAGTGGATAGAAGTGCATGTAGCACAACCCTGAAGACCTGGGTTGGATCCCCAGAACCCATCATGGAAGGAGGTGACCCTTCCTGAAAAGTTGTCCTGCACACTCATGCAATGATGTGTACACACATGCAACAACAGCAACAATAATAAAAAAACTGAAGAGTAGTTTAGTGCCAGCATGGACTACATAGTGAATTCAAGGCTAGCATGGGTGGCATGGTGAGACCTTGTCTCAAAAACAAAACAAGAGCCAAGTGATTCCCAAGTGTCTAGAGAAGAAATGGCACTCCCCTCTTATCCTCCCATCCCTGCAGGTCTTTTAATTTTCCTTTAACTTTCTTTAACAGTGGCAAGTGTCCTTCATGATCTCTTACAGGATGAATAAAACATGAAGTCACATTGTTAGACGGCTGTCTTCAGCATCTGGCCAATTCCAGCAGAATAGCTGGACAGCCGATCCTTCTTTTCTCTGGCATCTCATTTGTTTCAAAGGGGAAACTGTTTAGGACAGCCAGTCCCAGAGATACTCCCCCTAAGTCCCTCAGTGTATGGGTGAGTTCCAGAGAGGTGAGGCGACACATTTGTGGCAGACAGACTGAGTCCTGCTACCCTGAGCATTCCGTGGGCAGCATGGTGTTTTCGGCTGGTGTCTACTTGTTTTGATCTGTGGAACTCCACCTTGACAACATCCTGTGAAAGCTGGGGCTGGTGTGTGTGTGTGTGTGTGTGTGTGTGTGTGTGTGTGTGTGTGTGTGTGTTTGCAGCTTGGGAAGTGAAGGAGGTTGTTTAAACTCACGTGCACAGAACTGCCGCCCAGGACTTTCTCTCTGCATTCAGTGTGTCCTGCATTAATCAAGGGACTGTGGTATACCAGTGTAGTGGGAGAGTCAGCCTGGCCAGAGCCTTGCTGGCACCCTATGCAGAGCAAAGGGCCCTAGAGAGACCCTCATCATTCTTAGAAAGGGTGCAGATCCCAAGTCTGGACCACGAGGTCTGGCTTTCTGTGTAACTGTGAACACAGAGGGAAGGATGCCTAAGACTTCCCCTGGAGCCATTAAGCCCACATCCTCAGGCCTCCATTCCCCTTTGCCCCCACCCCCTTCTTTTTCTCTGGTTCTTTGTCCGTTTGTCTCCATCTGTCCCTCACCCAGTGTGGTTCCTGCCCCCTCACTGTCACATTATCATCTTTCTCCCCCTGTCACATGCTTTCCTTCATTCCAATGCAGGCGTGCTGGTCACCATGACAACAGAGACAGGCCCCGATTCTGAGGTGAAGAAGGCACAGGAGGAGACTCCACAGCAGCCTGAGGCTGCTGCAGCTGTGAGCACCCCGGTGACCCCCGCAGGCCACAGCCATCCGGAGACCAACTCCAATGAGAAGCTTCTGCCCCAGCAGGACACGAGGCCTGCTGAACAGGTGTGTGCTGGGGCCTGGGATGCCCCTCTTCCTGTCCCACTAGTCCTCCTGGTCCAGTTCTTAGGGCCCTAGTATTTTTCTCAGCAGGAAAGGAAAAAGGAGATTCAGCTACATTCATGACCTGGACTGGGGCATGGTGGTCATTTTATACTTAATCCCCCCAGTCCCCAGAGGGGGGTCATTTCTCTTGTTTTTAGTTGAGAGGGGCCGTGATTCAGTGTGGTGTGCCCAGTTCTCCAAAGTCACATAGTGATAAAACGCCAGAACTGATTCCAGATACAGTCCTGACTACTTTAGTCTCCTGCCTCTTCACCCAAGCCTGGCAAACCCTGCCGGTGAGACCCTGGCAAAACTCCCCAGAAAACTCTAGGAGACTGAAGGACTCACTGAGCCCTCTATTTACCCCTCCCTAATTCATGGTGGGCCCAGAGAAGCCAGGACTGGGCCACCCTCTTGGCCGGAGCCAGCTCTTCTCTGTACAGCTCTCAGCCTCTTGCTAGGTCTAGTGACAGTTAAGATGGGGACAGAGCAGTCAGATGCTCTGGTGAGTCACATGCTGTTCTAGGGAGAGAGACCGGGCAGCTTGGTGGTGAGTTTAGTTCTCTGGACTGCTCCTGTCCCCAGAGGCTGTCCACAGTAGCAGTAGTCTGTAGGAAGACAGACCCTTCAGCTCACATGGGAACATCACATCTCTACCCATATACACCAACCACAGCCCCCAGCCACCCTGAAGGTCTTGGAAGGTAGCTCTTCCTACTTTAGCACACACCCACTTACTTCCTTTGGCTTCAAGTTCGCTGACTTCTCTCCTTGCTGGTCCCACAGAGCCTAGATATGGAGGATAAGGACTACTGTGAGGCCGATGCCCTGTCGGAGAGGACCACGCCCAGTAAGGCCCAGAAGTCACCCCAGAAGATTGCCAAGAAGTTCAAGAGTGCCATCTGCCGAGTCACTCTGCTCGACGCCTCTGAGTATGAGTGTGAGGTGGAGGTAGGGAGCACCCAGGGCCATATGCCCCACCCCAGGCTGTCTGGCCTCAGTGCCGGGCTAGCTCCTGTGTGTCCTGAGTCCTAGCCAAATCAGAGGAGGACCAACTGCGATGTTCAGAGGGATGGCTTGGCCGGGCACTCCCTTGTACAGATGGTGAAACCAAGGTTCAGAAAGGGTCATCACTATTGCAAACCAAATTAAGACCCAACACAGACTGGCACCAGAAACAGGCACCTCAGGGTGGCTGTGCCTTGGTAAGAATGTCACCATTTAAGGGCTGAGAAGCTGACCACAGAAGGACGTCCCACTGTGCTTCTGAGTTCCAGACTATCTTCTGGATAATGTGTATGTGCGGGCGCACACAGACACACACACACCTGCTTCACTTGGCATCTTCTCTTCCTCTCACCCCCAAGCCTTAGGCTTTCAGCTTCTTCTCTTGAAATCTCCAACATGCTCCCAAGCAGGCCTTAGGAAGACCCTGGCAGGGCTTGTGAGGAGACCTAGGCGAGCTGGACATTAGAGACTTGGACAGTGGCGCCAGGTGGCAGGAGTGCTGGGGTCCTGCCCAGCCACAAGGGGGCGCGAGGGAGCTCTTTCTTTGTCCAGGAGAAGCTGGGTCAGCTCCCAGCCCCACCTGCTTCACAGTAGCTCTTCTCTTCTCTCGTCCTCAGAAGCACGGCCGGGGGCAGGTGCTGTTTGACCTGGTCTGTGAACACCTCAACCTCCTGGAGAAGGACTACTTCGGTCTGACCTTCTGTGATGCTGACAGCCAGAAGGTACCTGGCTAGGGGTCTGCGGTGGCGGGTGGGAAGGGAGGCATTCCTTCAGACCTTCTTCAGTTAGCATCCTCTGTACGTCAGCCACCCTAACCACTCATAGTTCCCTGACCCAGCTCCCCACCCTCACTCCCAGACAGGTACCCAGAGAGCTATGATGTGGCTGTGTGGGTTCCCCGGGGAACAGAACAGTCCTCAGCCGAGGCCTGGGCGGGGGTGGGGGAACGGCCCCCTCACTCCTGTAGTACCTGGTCACTGTGGCTGCCTCAGAGCAATGCCAGCCCCGATGCCATGACCAAACCCTGCTGTGAATCCAGGCCTCACTCCCTGGTGCCAAGTCAGTAGATCGAGGCAAGACTGTTCCCCGTGAGAGTCTGTGGCTGGCCACTTCCGAGTAGTTATCTCTCCCAGTCCCACTCTGTCCACGCCGCCATCTCCCTTCTAAAGGATGAATCTTCGATTCTCTTCCAGAATTGGCTGGACCCCTCCAAGGAAATTAAGAAGCAGATCCGGAGTGAGTACTTGCCTGTGGCTGGGTCGTGTGGTCGGGTGAGCAGGGCTTGGCTTCTGTGCTCCCACCTACTTTGGGATGTGCTCCTTGACCCATATTCCTTTGCCGTGCATGGCCAGGTCTTAGAGAAGGCAGAGTAGGAACAGTGTGGACATGATTTTGTAGGTAACCAGTCTGAGGCCCAGACGATAGAAATGACAGCGCAGAGCCACACTGCAAGTTATAAAGAAACTGTAAATGCTTTCAGGAGAGCAGCTTTGCAGAGCCACCTGGGATCCGGGGACAAACAGATGAGCTGGAAAGAGCCAGCCCTGTCCAAGGATGGTGTAGGAACTAACAACCCCTAACTCATGTCTGGAGAGTGGCAGCTACTTACGTAAGGTCACAGAGCCCTGTCTTGAGCCCTGGCCTTGTCTTGTTCTCTTTTTAGTGCTGGGGAGAAGGCAGATGACAGGTCGGCAATCTGTCTTTTCTGGTCCAGAGAGAAGCTTTCACATAGTGGAAGGAGGAGGTTGGTAGCTTCAGCAAATGGGCCTGCAGTAGGTGGAGAGTGCCTCAGCCTCGATCCCAGGCCCCACACATGCTGAGTATGCTTGGGCTCTTCAGAGTTGGGCTCCCTGGCCCCTGACTGGGAGCTGTAGCTGAGTCTGTGGCTATGACAGCAGGCATCTGGTCCCGGGAAGCCGGCTGACTCTACGGAAGGGGGCTTGAGGAGATTTTCCTGTAGTTCCCTGACAGTTGGTGACAGAGAGGCAGGCACATAGGCAGACCTACTTCTGGGGGTCAGCAGGGTTCTAGGGCTGAATTGTAGGCTGTCTTCTAGTGGTGCCAGCCCTGCTGGGAGGCCAGCCTCTCATGCCTTGAAAGAATTGGTACAGACACGGGCAGCCAAGTAGCAGAGTTTAATAAAGACCAATAGCCTGGAAAAGAGAGGCAGCCAGGCTGAATGACCAGGCCCTAGAGTCATTCCCCAGAGAAATCCTGGGGACCCTGTCCACCTGGCTTGATACATAGACTGTTGTTCCTATAGCAGCTCAAGCCATGGCCTTCGCACCTTGTAACCTTGATCCTTAGGAAATGCCTCCCCAAGAGGACTGGGCAGTTGGCTCAGTAGGCAAAGTGCTTGGCTCCTAAGCATGAGGACCTGAGTTCAGATTCTTAGCACCGAGGTAAAGCCAGTAGAGCAGTACACATTTGTAACACAGGTGAATCCTAGGGGCTTGCTGTCCAGCCAGTCTAGCCGCATTGATGAGAGCTCCAAGTTCAATGAGAAACAAGTCTCAGAAAAGTAGGTGAAAGTGGATGAGCCAGCAATGTAGGGAACACCCACTGGATGTAGGGTGTGATAGAGAGAAAAAGGAGGACATGAAGGTAAGGAGGAGGCGTGTTGGGGTGTCAGGGGAGTAGGGATGGGTATGATCAAGATACGTAGTATATATGTATGAAATGGTCGAGAATAAGAGATAGCTGGGTGGTTGAAAGTACTTGCTGCTCCTTCAGAGGACCTGGGGTTGATTCCCAGCACCCACCGTTTGTAACTTCCATTTCAGGGGGAATCTGATGCCCTTTCCTGGCTGCTCCAGGCACTGCATGCATATGGTATACTTAATACACAGGCAAAGCTCTTATATGTGTAAGATAAAAACACATTTTTATCTTTAAAAATAATAATAACAGCTAGGGCATGGTAGCACACGCCTTTAATGCCAGCACTTGGGACGCAGAGACAGGTGGATCTCTGTGAGTTCATGGCCAGCCTGGTCTAAAGAGCCAGTTCCAGGACAGCCAGGGCTACACAGAGAAACCCTGTGTCAAAAAACAAAACAATACTACTACTAATAGTAGTAATATGGTAGACAGCATTGGAGGAAGACATCAAACTCTGGCCTCCACATGTCCATGAACAAGGTGAATACACACACACCCCGACACCCCCCATGCCTGCATGTCCATGCACATGCCCCTTCTCTATTAGAGCTTTACTTTTGTCCCAACCTCTGAAATGCCCATCAGTTCATCCCAGTCCCCTCCTCCGGGACTTCAAGGAGTGATTTTGCCTCCTTTCTGTTGTTGGTCACATCCCCTCACGCTTGATAGTGGCTTTATGAGCCCTTGTGTCCCAGGCTGCTGAGACAGGTATCTCTCCCCTGAAGCCTCATTGCCCGTCACCTAAGGGACAGGTCTCTGAGTGGACTAGCCGTTCCTGCCTCCTGAGCTGGGAGCGATAGCAGAATGACACACCCTCAGACATCGCCACACGGTGGCTGTTTTCTCCTGGGCACAGCCTGGATTTGAATTCTAGCTCAATTCCCACTTCTTGTGCTTCATAACTGTTCTATGCCTCAGTTTCCCTCACTGTAAAGTGGGGTCATGACAACAGCTTTGGGATTGCTGAGAGGGTGAAATGGGGTACGGCACCCACACAATGCCTGGCACAGTGCATCCGGCATGTTCACGGGCACTGCTGTTCTTCCCGAGACAGGGCTTGTGTCCCTTGAGGCTTTCCAAGCAGTCTTTGTGATTAAGAGTCCGGGCTCTGCGGTCCGATGAGTAGAGTTTGGGAACCTGTTCTCTGTTACCAATCAGTTAATTGATCCTTAAAATGCGTGTCTATGAAAAGGAAACTCAGCTTGGGGAGGCAGCCCACTGGCGGAGTGATTGACTGGCACGCTCATGGCCCTGGGTTTGATCGTGAGTGCTGAAAACAGACACACAAACAACAACAAAACCAACCAACCAATCAGTAAAACCTCTCTCAGGGTGATTATGAGATTTAAGTTCTTGTGCTGGTGGGGAAAGCTGGTCCCCACCTGGACCTCCGTGTTCTCAAAATCATAGTTGTGAAGCAATTCAGTGTATACATGTGGCATGCAGGGTTACTCTTCCTTCTTTTTATCTTCTTTCCAATTGTTAGCTCTCAACCCTCTCAAGAAATGTATGCACTGTGTGTGCGTGTGTGTGTGTGTGTGTGGTGTGTGTATGTGATGTGTGTATGGTGTGTGATGTATGTGTGTGTGTGTGTGTGATGTGTGTGTGATGTGTATGTATGTGTGATGTGTGTATGTGTATTGTGGGTGTGATGTGTGTATGTATGTGTTGTGTGTGTATATGTGTATGATATGTGGGTGTGATGTGTGTATGTGTATATGTGTGTGTGAGATGTGTGTGTGTGTGGTGTGTGTATGTGATATGTGTATGGTGTGTGATGTATGTGTGTGTGTGTGTGTGATATGTGTGATGTGTGTGATGTGTGTGTATATGTGTGTGTGATGTGTATGTATGTGTGATGTGTGTGTGTGTGTGATGTGTGTGTGTGTATTGTGGGTGTGATGTGTGTATGTATGTGTCGTGTGTGTATATGTGTATGATATGTGTGTGTGATGTGTGTATGTGTAGATGTGTGTGTGTGTGTGTGTGTGTGTGTGTGTGTGTTTGTGTGCTACAGCACACATATGGAGGTCAGAGGACAATTGTGAGGAGTTTCCTTACACTGGGTTTCAGGGATCAAACTCAGGTTGGCAAACTTTCATGGCAGGTGCTTTTACCCCTGGAGCCACCGCGATGGCCTACTCCCACGTCTGTTAGCCTGGGCCTCAGTTTCCTTATCTATAAGTGGGAATGATGTTTCAGGATTGGATTGTCCCAGAGAGGGAAATCTATGAAAGATTGCTCCCAGGCTATAGCATCAGGGACAGCCACTGGCATGATGTAACCTCTCTGACCTTTCTTGTCTTTTCCTCTTAGGCAGCCCCTGGAATTTTGCCTTCACAGTCAAGTTCTACCCTCCTGACCCGGCCCAGCTGACAGAAGACATCACAAGGTGAGGACCATGAAGAGAGGGATAGATTCCTGCGGGACTATGAGTGGGACCAGGCATGCTGGCCCTGGGAGACAGAGGCTCTGTCTGGTGGGAGGAGCAAATGCAGCTGCCTTTTCCCTAGTCAGACCATCTCAAGAAAGTAGAGAACACGAGGAAAGCAGGACCCACATGTAGCTGACTTTAACCTCGGAGAAGGTGTCACAGGGGTCCCTGGGGGCCATTAAAAGGACAGATGTATCTTAAATGGTGGTTTCGGTCTAGTGACATGGCTCATCATACTCATGCTGCACAAGCCTGGTGCCTTGAGTTCAGTCCCTGGAATGTTTGTAAAGCTAGAAGGAGTGAGCAGTGCCACCGAGTCGTCCTCTGACCTCTACATACATGTCCTAGCATCATTACCCCTCCCCTGGCCCTCCCCCCTCACACACACACACACACACACACACACACACAGAGAGAGAGAGAGAGAGAGAGAGAGAGAGAGAGAGAGAGAGAGAGAGCTAATATATTTTTTAATAATCAAAGTGATTGCTATCAGGCTCTGGGAAGTCACTGGCCTGTGGGAATTGGGCCTGAAAGTTGAGTGAAGTCAGATATTTAAGTATTTGTATTGGAAAAACCACACCTTTTAAATCTTGACAGTAAATACAAGCTTTTTCTTTTTTCCTCTCTCTCTCTCTCTCTCTCTCTCTCTCTCTCTCTCTCTCTCTCTCTGTCTTTCTCTCTCCAAGACAGGGTTTCTCTGTAGCTTTGGAGCCTTTCCTGGAACTTGATTTGTAGGTCAGGCTGGCCTCAAACTCACAGAGATCTGCCTGCCTCTGCCTCCTGAGTGCTGGGACTAAAGGCGTGCGCCACCAACACCTGGCTGAATACAAGCTTTTTCTAACCCCAGTGGGAACACTCTATGGGTCAGGCGACCTGGCACACGTGGTCTGAGGTTCTGCATGGAACACCAGTTTGTGGTGTTGAGAAGGGAAGAAGATGGCTTGTGTGTGTGTGTTGGGGGGGGGGGGGTTGGTGTCCTCTGAGCAAGTCAGGCGTGTGGAGGTGAAAGAAGGTGTGTGAACATGGAGGCCACCTGGGCTTCCGGGGTGAACATGGACCATGTAGGTTCAAGTGACCCAAAGATTGGCAGTGGGGACAGAGCGTCCTTCAGGGTGGGAGCTTGCATGGGCTCATCCTGCCTCTGGAAAGCAGAGCAGGGAGAAGCCCCTCTTTTAAGTCCTGTCAAAGAGATGGCCTCGTTACATGATAGCCACTGTGGCACCATTCACACTGTGGGCCTTAACCCAGTCAGACGTGGGCTTGGAAATGCCCTCGCTTTCTCCCACCGGGCCCTTTACTTTTCTTACTTTTCTTTCTTTTTTCTTTTGTTCAAGTACTGGGGCTTGAACCTAGGGCCTTGTGCACTCTACATGAGCTGTATCTCCAGCCCACTTTATATTTAAAAGATTTGAATATTTATTTTTCTTTATGTGCACATGTCTGTGTGAGGGTATGCCACTTGTATAGGTGCCTGTAGAGGCCAGATGGATTTCAGATCTCTTGGAGCTAGCAATTCAGGCAGTTGTGAACCACCCGACATGGGCGATGGGAACAGAACTCAGGTCCTTTGGAAAAGCAGCATGTGTTCTTAACCACTGAGCCATCTTCCCAGTGCCAGTTTTTAAAGAAATACTGAGGCAGTCTCACTAAGTTTCCCGGGCTGGCTTTGAACTGCTGACCCTCCTGCCCCAGCCTCCTTAGTCTGAAGTTATAGGCCTGTACAGCCAGCCCTGGATATCAGGTTCATTTTTAATGCTTGATGCCCATTGACTAAGTAATATACCAAGTTCAAGATGCTGTCTCTGGCCTTGGGAGAGACGGCAGAAGTTCCTGGAATAGAGCAGGACCCAGGCCTTGGCTTCATTAGCCTCGCTCTGAGCTCTGAGCTTTGCTTGGGGCCAAGGTGACAGCAGCCATATCCCAATTCGGAGCTTCAGGCCAGCACAGCCTCCAGGGTGTGTCCTCGGTGCCAGACCCTGGGTCTCGCTCGGGCTTCCAGGGACACCAGAAGGAAGGTTGGCCCTGTCCAGCACAGATGGCTCCAGAAGGTAGGGTTGTAGGAGCAGCTGATTTAGTCAAAAATAGTGAGGCCCAAAATAAGCTGGTCAGAATGACAAATTGATTGAAATGAAGGATTGGCTGGAGTGCTGGCAATGATTTTTGAATTTTTAGACTCTTGAACAAAATGTCACAGGCCCATGCTGGACTCCTGTTATGTGTGGGAGCTGTGGATGGCTGCACGTGCCCATTGCCAGGGCTTTGCTTCCTACTTTGAAATAATGTCACAGAGCACTAAAAATTCTACTAAGTCGAAGTCACTTTGAAGGAAGAGACTTGGGTGGTTAGGAAAACATTAGCAAAATGTGGCAGAAAAGGGCAAGGAGACAGCCCTGGCCGGTGATGAGGCAGCTTGGGCCTTACTTCAGTGAACAGTGGTTGCAGGGGTGGTAGCAAATGGCTTAAATGCTAAAACCATCAAACCGTGAATGTACAAAACGTCACAGCCTGGTGGCTGGAAATGCTTCTATAGACCAATTGTGTTTTTAAACAATTCACTTAGGGCTGGAGGCAGAAGAAGGTTTGGGGAGAGGGCCAGCAAGATGGTTCAGCGGGTAGAAGTATTTGCTTCCGCCTAATGACCCAAGTTTGATCCCTAGAACCCAAATGGTAGAAGAAGAGAATCTACTCCCAAAGTTGCCCTCTGACCTCTGCACACTCTGTAATCTGCACATGCTTCCTTTCCTCCTTACTCTCTCTCTCTCTCTCTCTCTCTCTCTCTCTCTCTCTCTCACACACACACACACACACACACACACACACATACACACACCTCTCACACAATGAATCAGAATAGAAAAAAAAATGACTTGGTTCATCTGCGCTATGGGCTATGGTCCAGATGTTACAGTGCATGTGGAGAATTGTGCTGGCATGGAGACATTTCTTAAGTTACGTCGCTGAGTGTGACAAAGAGAGCTCTAGAATTAGATGTAGTGTTTTATATTACTTGCATTTTAAAATACCCATCAATTAAAGCCATATGCTTTTTTGTGTGTGTTTGTGAAGGAGAAATGTCTAGAATACCATGAGAATAACTAACTGGTGGCCTTGGAGAGGGAACTGGGAATGGCCATCAAGAGGGAACTCAGAGACACCTCTAAAGTTTGTTTGCTTGTTTTCCTTCCTTCCTTCCTTCCTTCCTCCCTCCCCCCTCCCTCCCTCCCTTCCTTCCTTCCTTCCTTCCTCTCTCTCTCTCTCTATCTCTCTCTCTCTCTTCCTTTCTCTTTTCATATATTCTATTAACTTGTAGGGCAGGCATTGCAGCTCAGTTGGTAGAGTGCGTGCCTGGCATGTTGAGAACCCTGGGTTCCATCCCCAGCACGGCATAAAAGGTGTGGTGGTTCATAACTGTCATCCCATCACTTGGGAGACTGGGGCGAGAGGGTTGCTTTGAGTTATGCAGTGGTACTCTGTGAAAAAGAAAACACAGAACACACTAGATTTCATAATTAAAGCTACATTAAAACCAGGCATAGTGGTTCATGTCTATAATCCCAGCACTCGGAAGGCGGAGGATTCATATTCAAGAACAGGCTGAGATATATGATGAATTCCAGGCCAGCTGGGCTACATAATGAGACCCTATCTCAAAACTAACTAATTGTGCTGGGGAGGCTGTCAGTGGGTAAAGTGCTTCACACAAGTGTGGAGCTGAGTTCGAATCCCCAGTACCCAGTAAAAGGACAGATGTGGTAATGTGTGTGTAATCTCAGTGCTCCTAAACTGAGGAAGTCGAGACAGGAGAAGCCTCAGAAGCTCCAGGGCCAGCTATCTTGGTATGCACAGCATCAAACAATAAAAAGACCCTGCCTCAAACAGTGTGGTAGGCAAGGATCAATACACCAGAGTGCTCTTTGGGGCTGGAGAGATGGCTCAGTGGCTAAGAGCACTTGTTCTTGAGGAAGACCCAGGTTCAGTTCCCAGTACCCACCTGGTGGCTCATGACCATCTGTAACTCCAGTGTCAGGGGGTCTGAAATCCTCTTCACATCCCCATGGGCACCAGGCACGCACATTGTGCACATAATACATGCTGGCAGAAAACTCATTTACATACAGTAAAATAACTCTTGAAAAATTGTCCTCTGGCCAGGCAGTCGTGGCACATTCCTTTAATCCCAGCACTCAGGAGGCAGAGGCAGGTGGATCTCTGTGAGTTCAAGGCCAGCCTGGTTTACAGAGAGAGTTCCAGGGCAGCCAGGGCTACAGAGAGAAACCTGTCTTGAAAAACCAGGAAAAAAAAAAAAAAAAAAAAAAACTTGCTCTCTGACTTCCACACATACATCATGGTATTTGTGTACTTGCACACACATACATACATACACAAAGCAAACCAACCAACAAAAACAAATAAAACTACAAGTCATTCCCCCCACCACCACCAAGGGCCATACCAGTAGTAGCTTGTATTGATGTAAATCTCAAAAATGCTCTTAGAATAGAAAAAAAAAATTCCTCAAATTCAGGGTCCCATGGCATGTCTCAAAACCTGTTCATAGGACACACCCACTCACCAGCAATGAATGCCATTTTCCCCCGGAGCTGATTTTGTTTGGTTCCAACAGCCCAGCTGTTGGGGTCTGGGCCACCTGGAGGTGTAGACCCATGCCCACCTCTTCCCCTGCCTTCAGGTATTACCTGTGCCTGCAGCTCAGGGCAGACATCATCACAGGCCGGCTGCCCTGCTCCTTTGTCACACATGCCCTGCTGGGCTCCTATGCCGTGCAGGCAGAGCTGGGTGACTACGATGCAGAAGAGCACATGGGTAACTATGTCAGTGAGCTCCGCTTCGCCCCAAACCAGACCCGGGAGCTGGAGGAGAGGATCATGGAGCTGCACAAGACATACAGGTGAGTGAGCCTGGCACCTGCCGGCTACAACCCTCCCCTCAGGCTGAAGGGCCAGGCCCTGAGTGCTGTGTTTTATGCATGCCACTTGGCATTGCTCCTAACACAAGATGCCTGGGAACAGGTCATTTTTATGAGGTGGGAATAACTGGGACCGTCTGTATGATGCAAGTGACCACTTGGTCCTCAACTTCTTGAGTTCCTGTGTGGGTAAAATTCCCTGTCCCAAGCCTCTGAGGATCAGCTTTTCTGTTACTCAGTTGTAATAATGGCGGCATGCCTCTGGGGAAGGGTACTCATGTAGTGGTTTGGGGAAAAAAATCCCAAGTTTAAATGCAAATGCCAAATCTGACTGTGCCTCTTTGTAACCAGGGAATGTCTACAGGTCATTTTACTTCACTGTGCTTGTCATGTTCATCTATTCAGCACGGTGCTGGTCAACATGCCCCCTGGGGTTATTAGGAGGCCACACAGAAAATATTAAAGCCACGTGACATGTGGGCTGAGTGTCGCTACCCATCAATTGGAGCATTTGTGTTGTTGATTGCATACTTTGTTGAGTTGTTGATTGCATATTTGTTGAGTTGTTGATTGAATACTTTGTTCTGGAGTTAGAAGATAATTGGCCAGATGTGTGATTGTGGGCTAGCTGCTGAACTTCTGTAAGCCCCATTTTCACCTATAAATACACAGGCTGAGATGATGAGTGTTGCTCAGCCACTGGTATTGGGACAGCAGAATTCATCATGCAGGATCTTAAGCTTCCTTGGGCTGCAGACATTGAGTGCCCGTAATACCCCTAAGCAATTGCAGCAATGGGAATACAGACAGTCCACTGCCATTTCTCAGTGCCTGCTCTGCAGAGAACACTACCTACCCCCCTGGATCAAAATGATCTGTAGGGTCCTGTTCAGCTGGAAGTGCTGTGGTCCAAGCTCAAGGTTGTTATGGGATCTGATGTGAAAATACATTCTAAAGGGTATAGTGCTGCACCTGTAGGAAGGACTCTGATGATATTATCTCATCCCTATGCATGGAGGGTATGGGGAGGGCTGTATGCTGTAGGCTCCATCTGGAGAAGAGAATCATGACCAGATGTGATGAGTTCATATGTGGGGATGAGCCTGCTAGGTGTGATGGATGCTAGGCCAAAGATGGCAAATAAATGCTCACAGAGATTTGCACATCAACCCCACTAGGTTCATACTGACTGCCATGGAGTCATGCTGAGTAGGAGACAAGCAGTTATAGCCGCCAGACATAGGATGAGGGTGCTATGCCTACCGTCTGCTGTTTTTGCCTGTCCTAGATAGCAGGTGTCCTAGAGATTTTGTAAGAGTGATAATTCTTAGAAAGACAGATCAATATGTGCTTAATCACCGCCAGCAGTGGTCATCATAACTCTTTGAACTTAAGGCACATTGACATCTGGCATCCGTGAATTCCACACAGAATCTCCAGGGTGGACAGGGTGGAGGAAATGGAATCCAGAGACAGTAAGAGACAGATCGGAGCCACATTGCCTAGAGTTAAATCCAAACCCTGCTGTTACTTAATACCAGCGGGCTGTTCAGCGAGCTTATGACTCTTCCCTCGGCACTGGCTTTCTCATCTGAGAGCAACACCCCCTACAGAGTGTACAGACCAAAAGTCTGCATATAGGTCAAGTGCCTGGAGCTTGAAGCAGTGCCATAATCCTTGATGGTATCTGCTATGAGAGTAACCAGAAGCCTGAGCTCCCTGGCAGCCAGAGCAAAGATGGAAATTGATTCCTAACACGACCCATAAGAAAGGAGCTTAAGGACCTGTTTCTAAGGGAGACTAAGTGGCTCCTGACACTGTTGTCTTCTGAGGGTGGTGTGAGGAGCCTTTGTGTGATTCTAATGAACATCGTCTTCATTAGTGGTCTTCCAGCCATGAGAAGCAGGATGTATGAACTTCATACTTAATTTGGTGGGAACTGAGACAAAAATCCCAACTCCCAGTCTAGCCCTTGTCTGCTGCCTGGACAAAACAGGACTGGACCTGAGTGTTGCAAAAGACAGGTTTGGTGGACTGAAGTAGAGGGGCTGTCAATCCTGTCCTGAGGGCAGAGGAGAGGGCCTAGGGTGAGGCTCAGCCACCTACCCTTTTGGAATGGCCAGTTCTGGTGGTGATACCTGCAATCAGTGGGACTTAGCCTGGACCTTTACCACACCCCACAACCATCCTTTCTTTCCTCAGGGGCATGACGCCGGGAGAGGCGGAGATCCACTTCCTGGAGAACGCCAAGAAGCTGTCCATGTATGGCGTTGATTTGCACCATGCTAAGGTACCACTGAGTCCCGGCAAGCTCTCACCTTAAAAGGTCCCTGAGGTAGCACTTCCAGAGCCAGTGTCTCGACTGCTTTGCCTCCAACTCGGAAACTTTGGGGGTTCTCCTTTCTCAAAAGTAATAATCCTTTATTCTCTCAAACTTTCATCATCTCCCCCTTGGAGTCAATTTCCTCACAGGCCTACTAGTTTGTGCCTCCACTAGATTGGGTGCATGTGAGAGATAGACAAGGCCTTAGGTAATTTCTGTCACACTAGCGTGTGGCACATGGCCTGCGGTGAGTATGTTCCTAAATGTTTATTGAGTGGACGAGTGATTGACAGGGCAAGTGACTGAGGAAGCGAGTGGTGAATCAATGACAGAGAGATTGTTAGATGACTAGGGGAAATATTTGTCCAGGGATTCCAGCCTGCCCCCAGGAGCTCATTACAAGTGGAGCAGGGTGGTAGCAGGCTGTCCCTGACTGGCTCCGAACACCCGCTCTGTGCTCTCTCCCTGTGCAGGACTCTGAGGGCATCGATATCATGCTGGGTGTCTGCGCCAATGGCCTGCTCATTTACCGGGACCGTCTGAGAATCAACCGTTTTGCCTGGCCCAAGATTCTCAAGATCTCCTACAAGAGGAGTAACTTCTACATCAAGATCCGGCCTGGAGAGGTGAGCATGGCCCAAAACTTGCTCCCTTCACTCACCTCCCTGTCTTAATGTTTCTATTGCTGTGAAGAGATACCGTGGCCACAACAGCATTTAATTGTGGTGGCTTGCTTACAGTTTCAGAGGTTCAGTCCATTATCATGGTGGGGAGCATGGCGGTGTGTAGGCAGATGTGGTGCTGGCTACATCTTGATATGCAGGCCACAGGAAGTAAACTGACACACTGGCTGATATCCTGGGCATAGGAAACCTCAAAGCCTACCCTCACAGTGACACACTTCCTCCTACAAGGCCATTCCTACTCCATCAAAGCCACACCTCCTAATAGTGCCATTCCCTATGAGATTATGGGGGTCAATTACATTCAAACTACCACACCCCACACTACTGGGGGGATGACTGAACCTAATAGAGTGGACGTCAGCAGCTGGCCTGGGTTTTCCTGCCCAGGAAACATGAACAAGGTTCCAGGGTTCATGGAAGGTGGATCTCCCTCCTCCCTGTTTCCCTACATAGACTGCACACCATGTGACCTCACATTTGGTTTATTTTATTTATTTGTCTGTGTATGCTCCTGTGCATGCACATACATGTACATTTTGCTGTGGTGCACATATGAAGGCCAGAGGTCAGGTCCTGTGGACAGTTTGCTGTAGTCAGTTTCTCATTCCACCGTATTGATCCTGGGGATCGAATTCAGGTTATCAGGCTGAGTGGCAAATGCCTTATCTGCTGAGCCAGCCCTGTGCTGGAACAAAACAGCCAATAGCACCTGCCATAGAGACGAAAGGCTTGCTTTGACTCACAGTTTGGGAGGGTTAGTCCGTGTTTGATGAGCCCTGTGATTTTGGGCTCATGGAGCAGTGGTACATCATAGCAGGAGGGCATGAAGGAATAGAGTGGCCACACCATGCTCAAGGTGTATGGTGACTAAGGCGTACAAAGGCATGGCATTTGAGAGCACACACCAGTGTCCTAAGAACTCCCAGTAGGTCCCACTTCTTAAAGGTTTCCCTTACCTTCCAAGTGTACCTCATAGGGCTGAAGTGTTTAATACCTTCACCTTTGGGGACATTGTGTGTCCCGGCTGCAGCATGGCCCTGTCCTTCCAGTCTCAGGACAAAGCACATGTAAATGGAAGGCGCCCTTTCTGACAGTTGGACCCAAGCCTTCCCAGCAGATCCTTCATTCCACTCATAGCTCTTACCCATATCTGCAATGATCTTATTTATTTTGTTCTTTTTCCGCGTGTGTGGTTGTATGTGAGTGTTATGTGTGGTGTGTACAGGAGTGTTGTGTTTGTGTATGTGTGTGTGTGGTGTACCTGAGTGTATCAGTGTGTGTGGTGTGTACATAAGTGTGTGTGTGTGGTATGGTGCTATGTGGTGTATATATGAGTGTGTGTTTGGGTGTGTACATGAATATGTGTATGGGTATGTACTTGAGTGTGTATGAGCATATACATGAGTGTGTGGTATGTATATGAGTGTGTGTGTGTGTATGTGTCTGTGTCTGTGTATGTATGTGTTCAGGTAGGGGCCCAAGGTTGATGTTAGAAATCTCTCTCTCATCCTCAACCAAGGTCACAGTCAAAGCCAGAGCTCCCCAGTATGGCTAGTCTAGCTAGCCTGATTGCTCTGGGGAATCCTCCATCTTCCCCTTCTGGGGCTGCAATTACAGGTGGCCTGCCACACCCATCTGGCCATTTATATAAGTTCTGGAGATTTGAACTCAGGTCCTCATGCTTGTGAGGCGAGCATGTCACCACTGAACCTTGCCCTGTTTAATTATTCTCTGACCTCCTATTCCCTAGATGTGGGTGTGCTGATCCCACCAGTGTCTCCAGTGGTTAGCACTGGAAAAGAGCTCAGTCTGCCCTCTTTACATGCATGCATGAATAGGCTGAAGGTGCATCTGTGTGAGGAGAGGGTGAGTAGTGGGCTAGTGGCGAGTGTGTCCCAGGCCTCACCTGTAACCCACCCTTCTTGGCTTCCCAGTATGAGCAGTTTGAGAGCACCATCGGCTTCAAACTCCCTAACCACCGCTCAGCCAAGCGGTTGTGGAAGGTCTGCATTGAGCACCATACATTCTTCCGGTGAGCCCCCCTGGGCGGGGTGAGAGGGATGAGAGCCTGTGAGGTTCAGGGGGTGGGGGAAGTACAGTCAGCACAGCAAGCCCAGCACTTCCCCAAGTCTCCCCTTTCTGACTGTGAGGTATTGCAGTTGTGAGGTTATGACAGAGTTAGCCAGAGCTGGGGACACTGGCATAAAAAGCCTGCTGTGGTCTGACTTTGGACCTGACGATGGGGCCAGATCCCCATTCCTCATCTCCATTACTCTGTTCTAGGCTAGTGTCCCCAGAGCCCCCACCCAAGGGCTTTCTGGTGATGGGCTCCAAGTTCCGGTACAGTGGGAGGACCCAAGCACAGACCCGCCAAGCTAGTGCTCTCATCGACCGGCCTGCGCCCTTCTTTGAGCGTTCCTCCAGCAAGAGATACACCATGTCCCGCAGCCTTGATGGAGGTATGGCCCAGACTGGAGCTGGGGTAAGAGTGGTCCTCAGGAAAGACAAGGTGCGCGAACATAGCAGGTCTACAGAACAAATGTGGTACTTGTGGTAGACACTCCCAAGGTCATTTGCACCAGACATGGTGATCTGACAAGCACCATTGCTCCTGGGCAGCTCTGTCCCACTGGGATAGGACATATACTCCAGGACTTTTCTGGGTTGTGACCTTGTGGGGGGTCCCAGGTTCCTCCATCTAATCTTCTGGGCCTTTGCCTAAAGGAAGCTCAACTATGCACAGGTTGACATTCGTGTGGTTTATGTGAAGGAAAAAGGACCTGGTCTGGCCCTGGCCCTTTCCTGTGGGTCTCATTCCTACGCCAGAGCTAAGTGGATCCTAGACTGGAGGGGAGGTTATGACAGAGGTTAGCCCAGAGCTGTGGGCGCTTGTCGGGGGAGCAGAACCCTGGACTCTAACCTGAAGGCTGGGTTTCTTGTGTTGACATCCTGAAAGGACACCTGTGGGACCTCCTTTTTGAGCCTCAATGTATCCTCCGTCAGATGGAGGTCGTAATTCCCAGGCTAGCCCACAACACAGAGCAGTGCAAACCAGGTAGTGAGCAGGAATTGGCACTTTGCCGAGGGAAATAGCCCTGGAAGATAAGGCAAATTGCCTTCTCTTTCTAATGGTGGCCAACCACAAGGACAATATGTGTGCTCTGGTTGTCATTATGATGGGTTTCCATAGCCTTTTTTCTACTAAGGCTCAGTCTGCAACATTTTGGGTTGATCCCAGGGCCTGGTGCAGTCTCTAAGTCCACCCTTCTTTGGTTTAGAAAAATATTTTATTATTGTGGCAAGGAAGATGGATTTTATAGGGATCCCTTTGAATTCTTGCTAACTTACAAAGAAACCAAACCATTTGAAGCTGCTACTGTGACTTGTAAAAGCTAGTCTCAGGATGTCTGGGTATTGCTAGATAACAATGTATTGGGAGTTGCCCAAGGACCACAATACAAACAGCAATGTTTGCTGGGTGAGCATGGATGGAAAGGTCACTCTGGGTCTGACACTGTCCGAAGAACTTATAGACCTTAGTTTATTGTGTTCTTACCTCATCTGTCTGGCATAGATACTACTTAATGATGAGGAAACTGAATCCCAGAGGGGTTGTGTAACTTATCCACTGTCACCCAGCCAGGAAGGGTTGGATTTGAGACACTAGTGCTGTAGAAAGGTAGAAGGAGTCCGCGGCTGGGAAGTAGCCTTGTGACTCTCCGGCCATTAATCAGGCTGAGCAGTAGGGAAGGCTGGGCAGTGAGTTGCAGTGGGGAAGGCTGGGCAGTGAGTTGCAGTAGGGAAGGCTGGGCAGTGAGTTGCAGTGGGAAGGCTGGGCAGTGAGTTGCAGTGGGGAAAGCTGGGCAGTGAGTTGCAGTAGGGAAGGCTGGGCAGTGAGTTGCAGTGGGAAGGCTGGGCAGTGGGTTGCAGTGGGGAAGGCTGGGCACTGGGTTGCAGTGGGAAGGCTGGGCAGTGGGTTGCAGTGGGGAAGGCTGGGCACTGGGTTGCAGTGGGAAGGCTGGGCGGTGGCTGGCTTTCTGACTGTGCATAGGGAAATGCCTCACACAGACACTCCACTACCTCTGCCCACTTTAGCGGAGTTCTCCCGCCCCGCCTCAGTCAGTGAGAATCATGATGCAGGGACTGACCGTGACAAACGGGAAGATGATGCTGAGTCAGGGGGACGGCGATCAGAAGCTGAAGAAGGAGAGGTCAGGACCCCCACAAAGATCAAGGAGCTGAAGGTAGGAACCCACTGGGTTGCCATGTATCCTGTTCCCAGGGGACCTGGTTGGTGGCCTGAGGTTGGTAGCCTCAGCCTTATTGCATCCAAACACCCTTGCTGTGGGGTGCACCATGGCCAGTATTCCACACCTGGACATGCAGAGTAGGGTTGGGGTTGGAAGTGGCATGCTGCCCCCTTTTCACCCAGCTTTCCTGGGTCTCGGGTGCTTCCCTGAGTCTGGGAAACTCTGACCCCCACACACACGCTTACTGACTCCTGTATCCTCTTTAATTGTGGTCTGTGTCTCCTCTCCTACCCTGAGCTTGAACAGGTCACCAAAGGCCTCAGTGTGCAGTGTAAGTGTGTCCTTTCCTGCAGCCAGCCTCACTCTGTGGACATACACATCCCCAGTGTGTATATATATGTACAGGGTCCTGCAGGCACACACAGCCCAGCCCCACTTTCACACCTCTATACCCCAGCCTTAGACTCTTGCACAGACATGATGATAGCATGTTCACATACATGCACAGGCTTGGCCACACATAGGCCAGGCATGGCTTCCTTGGCATTGCTGAGCTGTCCTTTTCTGCCATGTAGTTCTGCAGTGTAAACACTGGCCCCCTAATCACATGCTCACTGTTACAAGCAGCAGGAAATGCTGGACGCACACCAGCCTGTGAATGTACTCTACCCACTCTGAATCTAGTCCCCTGGCCGCTCCTTTGCCTTCCTGAGATAGCCACCTGCTTCCTACCCCATACCTTCCTCTGATTGCCTCATTACCTATTATTGCCTTAGCAGCTCTCCTGGCCCACACTGCATGGTGGGATTGGGTAGGAGTGCACAGGGCTACCTTGCTGGACCAGGCTAGTTGCGGTGTCTCTTATCTGTTTATTCTACTGACCCTGCTGGTTCCTTTCCCTCCTGCCTTATCCTACCAGCCGGAGCAGGAAACCACGCCAAGACACAAGCAGGAGGTACTGCATGGACCCATCTCCCCCTCAATAGCCGTTCATGTATCACCATCCCACTCTGTCTGTCCCCGGCTCATGTCCCTGGCACCACCTCAGCTTCAACTTCATTTCTGCCCACCTTCTACACCCTCTTTTCCGTTATTTTCCTTTGTGGTCACTGCCCTCCCTGTTAAGCTCATGTCTTCAGCTCCCAGGTCGGATTCTAGTCCCATCCACGTGTCCTGCCCTGCACCCAGTGTCACTTCTTTGCTGGCCTGGTGATCCCTGCCTCCCTCCCCTACTTGTGTGCTTTCATTTAGCTCCTCTTTCCATTCCCACCCTCCCCTTCCTTAGCGCTGTCTCCTCCCCAGCAGCACTGTTTGGCAGCACCTACATCTCATTTGTGTTCTTTGTATCTCTTGACAACCAGATGTGAGGGTGGGGCCTGGGTGGAGGAGGGGGAGCCCCAGGGCGCATCTGCATCTGCTCAGACTCCAGGCCCACTGCCCTCCTGAGCAGGCTGCTGATGCCTCCCTCTTCTTATCTCCCGGTTCAATGAGTACATCAACTTCTGTCTCCCGCCCCCACGTCTTCCCCCTCCCAGTGTCCAGGTCTCTCTGGGGATGCAGTTTGTTCTTGGGCTGCTGAAAGAAGGCCACAGTCAGGGGCCAGCCATGGCATCCTTGAGTCCTGATCCTATCCACACAACAGGGCATGCAGACTATCTGTGACTTCAGCTACACCTGCCTCATTCTTGTGTCAGACCTCGACACTCACCCCTCCAAGGCCTTTAACCTCTAGGGAACCCCGGACCCAACCACTCTCCAGTTTCTGGGGGCATAATTTACTGCAGGGCCTGCTGCCCATTTGGGATCACCTCGGGTTAAGACTCACTCACCATCGAAGCCTGTTCTCACCCCCTGTGCCAACCCACATAACCTCTCATATCCACGCGGTCTGTAGCCAGCTTAGCCTGGGAGGGAGGCCTGAGGTCCAGTCAGGTATGTGGGGAGAAAGCGGAAGCCTCAGTAGGATTGGCTTTCTTCCTGAGAAGTTTTGGGAGCAACTACAGTGGTTCTTACATGCCAGCGATGAACCCAGGGGAGGAGTCTAGGCCTATCTAAGGACAGGCTTATCTTGCAGGGAGTTCTCAAACAGCCTTGCAGATAGTCTTTGGGCTGCCAGCTCTCTTTCTCTTCCAGAAGCAGGCAGATGACCAACATTGGCAGTTCTCTGTGGCTCATCCTCACTGGGCCCAAGCAGACTTCTCTATCTGTAACACTGGTGTGGACTCACCAGGGGCACGCCTGGGACCAGCTCTACTGACACGTTCTTGTGCCAGGCCTGGAAGCTCATCTCTTCTCCCTCATCTCTAGTTTCTCACCCCACATGAGCCTCACTTCCTCCCCAGCCAGCATCCTGGTCTTGTTGATGGCATCTGACTCTGTCTGCTTTTAGAGAGTGAGGACTCAGAAAGCATCTGTGAGGTTCTGTGATGGAGAAGGCAGTGGCCCATGGTGCAGGAGGCTGCATAGTCTTTCCCGGCCCCGAATAGGGGAACAGGGCCCATTTTCCTGAACAACCTAGCTTAGGCCAGGCCTCCATGGGGCCTGTGCAGTTGGATGGGGGCTCAGAAGAGCCTAGACTGAACAGGCTCTTAAGTACAATGGTCTCAGTCTTGAGCAGAGATAGGAGCCAGAATTGAAGGGGGTTCTGGGAATCTAGCCAGCAAGCCTGTGCAGCTCAGAGAACACATAGGGACTTCTCACCTTGGTACATGCTGCCTGCTGTGCCTGGATCATAAATAGGAAAGTCATCTGTGTGTCTCACTCCATCTGGGCTCAGAGGACAACAGGAACTCACCCAGACTTGAGGGTTGAGTGGAGTTGAATGTTCTGGGGTAAGGTAGGCAGGGGAGAAGAGAGGGTGGCTTCATTAGGCTGTCCTCTTTGTCACCCGGGTGCCCCATGCCCCGGGTCAGTGCATCTCTTGGTCCCTTGGGTTATTATGAGGATGATAGTGTTGGATGGGATGGTGAGGTGCTGATGCTAGCCTTCGTGTGCCTTCCTCTGTTCATCACACTCCTCTACCTCGTCCTTCCACACCTAGTTCTTGGACAAGCCAGAGGATGTCCTGTTGAAGCACCAGGCCAGCATCAATGAGCTCAAGAGGACCCTGAAGGAGCCCAACAGCAAACTGATCCACCGGGATCGAGACTGGGAGCGGGAGCGCAGGCTGCCCTCATCACCCGCCTCCCCCTCCCCCAAGGGCACCCCTGAGAAAGCCAGTGAGGTAGGTATTCTGCTGAAGCCTTCAACAGGGACCTTGGATAAAGAGGCACAGGGCAGGGGTAAGGAGCTAAATGTGTATTTACTTTCATCCATCACACAAATATGTGCCTGTCGCTGCCTTAGGCTGGTGGGTTGGGCAGGCAGGTTAGGCTGAGAGGGTCAAATTCACTAACCACTGGGTCCTAGGGACCATCTTAAAACATGAAATGCTCCAAAAACTCCTGGTAGCTCGGTGGGGAAAGTGTGCTTGTTAGAAGTGCAGGTCCTAAGACCGCATGTGGGACCCACTAAAGCAGCTGTTTGCCAGGAAAGACCTCGGATTAGGCAAGTGTCTTGCATATTCAACTTTGAGAACCCAGGAAGCCCTACACAGGGACCAGCCCCTTTGGAGCTTTTGTGACAGCTTTTTGTGACAGGGGAAACATGGTCCCTGCTAGAAGAATTCTAGAGGTGTGACCTCAGACCACTCCTGAGGCATTCCCAAAAGGACCCCATAAGCCTGCCCTCCAGGGTGGAAATATGGGGGTTCTTTCTCAACTGAAGAAAATATGATTTGGGAATATCTGTATTTATACTCCCAAGCTATTATTTTTAGCAGTTGCTGAACCTTGATGAGATTTACCCTGGTTTCAGGGTAGTTATCTTCCCTCTCGAGCTGCTGCTCACTGGTTACCAGATTGACTGAGGTCTAAACTTAGGCTCCTGGTGCCATTACCTGTCAGCTGGAGGACTCTGGCTTGTTACTTCACCTCCCTGAGGCCCTGTTATGAGGAGATGTTTATAGGGATGCTATAAGGGTCAGGAGAGATAATGCCTGGAGAGGGACCACAGGGCCACCATGCTGTCTGGTATGAGCTACTTGGTGTTCCTTATGGAGTCCCAGGACTCAGCCTTATGGATCTCCAAATCAAAGCTGGAAGGACCCTGGGAACCCTCTCTGTTGAAAGACCTGCTTTTACTGAGACCCAGAGAGACGAAGAATGACTCAGCATGATCGCACGCTTGTTGTGTTCACATCATTGTACTTGTAATGAATTCACAGCCGTGTGCAGACGAAATCTCATGCAGACCAGGTATAGAGTCAGTTGTATATGTGCTTTCTCCCTAGTGCTTTGGACATTGGTGACACAGCCATGGTTTAATACGTAGAGTGCTGATTGTACTGGTCCTTGCCATGGTCTGAGCCCACCAGATAGCAGAGGATTTTCCTTGTGAGGTATAAACTCCTGGCACAGCTGAAATTCCATGGCTGCCAAAGTCACAGTTAAGGGATGCTTTGTGGGGCATTGAAGGCTGATACCCTGAGAAAAGACAAATCTCTGCACCTTCTAGCAGAGGAGGCAAACTTAAATACTGTGGCATGACATTGTCATCTACACATGTATCGATCAGCTTTTGTAGTTACCTGGGATGCACATGGACCTCAGGCTGTGAGTTGGATAGGTCTCTGAGGACTTCTGTGGTCCCAGCACAACCAAGACCTCAGACTAAATTGTGGTTGTGATGTAGAGAGCTGGCACACAGCACTCTCTTCTCCACCCCTCATTCCCTAGGGAAAGATGGCCAGAGTAATTTCTAACAGTTCTGAAATGGGTCAGGTCTTGGCCTAGGTGCAAGTGAAGTGTGTGATGTAGAAGCTAACCCTAAGGGTGAGATGTCAGCAGAGAAAGGAGCTGTAGATGAATGCTAGTCAGCTAGGACCTGGAATTGGGGGGTGTGCCCCACCTGCTGGTGACAACTGGAGCTGCCAGCAGAGGAACCTTATTAAAGATGGAGGCTATGCCAGCTGCCACCTCCTTAGCCCTGAAAACTGTAATCAGCACTCCTGGGAAGTAACGGAGACTGTCTTGGAGTTACGAACCGTTTAGAGCTTTATGTCCCTTGGCATTTATGGGTTCTTGAAGATTTTCAAAATGGGAAGAGCCATAGACAAGGACTTGACTCTGCCCTTGGGTGAGTGATGTCACCTCTGTAAGCCTCCTTGCATAGGCCATCTGAAAGGGGACCAGAATGTCATTCCATTGGGAGGTTATTGGCAAGGCTAACTGGAACAATGAAGATGGAAGGTCATTGTCCTCTAGGAAGTGTCGATAGTTATGGGATCACTGCTGAAGGTGAACTAGAATCCCTGGCCCAAGCTCTGGGGAGGACCCTTTGAGGGCATACCACCCAGAACTGCCATAGCCACCTCAAGGCTTGTTGAGTCCTACCCAAGCCAAGGGGAAAGCAGAAGGAACTTGAACAATTCCCACTGGACAAACCCAGGTTTTAGTTTGAAAGACAATTGTGTATGGGGTGGTGGTGATGTAGGTGTATGTGTGTTTGTTTGGGTGTGTGCACATGTACATCACACATGTATGTGTGTATGCATTCATGTGGAGGCCAGAGGTCAACATGGGTATCTTCCTCAGTCACTATTTTTTTTATTATCTCTCTCTCTGTCTGTCTGTCTGTCTGTCTGTCTGTCTGTCTGTCTGTCTGTCTCTCTCTCTCTCTCTCTCTCTCTCTGTGTGTGTGTGTGTGTGTGTGTGTGTGTGAGAGAGAGAGAGAGAGAGAGAGAGAGAGAGAGAGAGAGAGAGAGAGTGTAAATCAGAGGACAACTTTTGAGAATCTTTCCTTCCTCCATGTGGGTCCTGGGGATTGAACTTAGGATTTTGGGCTTGGCAACAGGCACTTTTACCTACTGAGCCATCTTGCCAGCCCCTCCACTTTATTTTTTGAGACAAAGCCTCTCACTGAGCCTGGAGCTCACTGACTAGCTGCAGGCTGGCCCGTCAGTGAGCTCCAGGGATCTGCCTGTCTCCACCTCCCCAGAGCTGAGATTACAGATGTGCGTTTACAGATGTGCGTTGCAACACTTGGCTTTTTTCACAGGTTCTGGGGATCTGAACCCAATTTCTCATGCCTGTACAAGAACTTTATTAATTATGGCATCTCCTCAGCTTTTCAAGGGCAACTTTTAAAAGCTATGACTGTGACCCAGCTACAGATTCGAACCATAGTCTAAGCCCATGACACCTTGGGCAGGCTGGAAGTCAGTCCAACTGTGGGATTCCAGACTCCCTTGAGTGTTAGTGGGCATGAGAGGCTGGCCAAAAGCCACAGGATTGCCTTGCAGCCAGCCCCAACCACAGCTGTCCTTCCCTGTCTCCCCGATCAGGGCAGCTCCTTCCTGACTGAATCTGTGAACTAACAAAACAGTGTGGGGCCTACAAAGCTGGCTTATTTACAGACTTTGTGTCTCTCCTGCTCTCTCTCTCTCTCTCTCCCTCTCCCTCCCCCCCCCATTCTTTCTTCCGGCCCTGGGCCTCCCCTGCAGGCCCAGAGGACCCAGGATACTTCTCAGCAGGACTTGGTGCCTGGAACAGCAGCAGGCTTGGAAGTGTTCACTCAGAAAAGTCTCGCAGCATCTCCTGAGGTTACTGTCTTTGCATCCCCACATCCCTTCCTCCTGGGCCTCCAGCCCATTCCTGTCCACCCTCCAGGATCTTAAGGAAACCCTTGCCCCAGATCGAGGGTAATAGGTCAAACTCTGACATGGAGAATAGAGCAGGTGTGGCCCATGTTGTCCGGTGTTATAAATAGCAAGTGTTCCCATCCCAGGGGTCCATGAAGGGCCAGCCCCTCCCTCGTCTGTTACTTAGCAGGAAGGAGAGATCACAGCTATATCCAGAAGACAAAACTGGTTGCCTCTGCCTCAAAAGGGGCAAAGATCTGATCCTCTCTAAAGGCAGGCTCTATGCCTTAGCTTGAGTGTCTTGGCCCTTGAGTGTGTCCTGCCCTGAGATCTTGGCTGTGTTTAAAAGCCTGACTGTAGTCTATGGGTGGCTAGTTAGGGCATAGTGTCAAATCCTCCCCTGCTCCCAGCTGTCTAAACCCATCTGGGACATTGGTCTTTGTCTCCAGTCAAGCAAAAGTCAATATCTTCCTCCCCAAAATATCCCTCTAAGTGAGGAGGGCATTGTTTGAAGAGCAGGCCAAGGGTTCTTGGGTTTCCTGAGGCCCTGTTTAGATGCTGGGGATGGAATCCCCACATTCCACCCCAACCCCACACTGGGATTATGTAGCCTGTTGAGTTGTGAATCAATCAGCTACTTAGGAAACATCCTTCATGTAGCCTCTTCCCCATCTGTTGGTGTGGCTTGTGAGGGCATAGACCTTTTTCCTTCTACAGAGAACTTGTGTAGCTGCTGTGAGTATGCTGTCAGTGTAGGAGGGAGGCACATCAGCAAGCGCCATACAAGGGAAGTACAAACCAGAGCTCTTCCTGAAGTCTTCTTCCATGGAGAACTAAAAGCAAACCTGTCAGTGGGAGTCAGCAGCATCCTAGAGTTAGGAATGTGGTGATGTCCTAGGTCCGGAGATGCTCTTAGAAACAAGGAGGGTGTGTTTCTATGGGGAGTGAGCCAGGATGTGCGCCTTTTAACAGTGGCCTGTCACATCAGCCTACTGTTTTGTCTACAGTCATCAAGAGGACCATTCATTCATTCCATCCTTCATCCCCACCTTCTTATCCCTTCCCTTTCCCTCCCTCTGCCTTATTCTTCCCTCCACGAGGCCTTTCCGTGTTGCCCTGACTGCACTCAAATTCTAGGCTTTGGCTTCACAAGTGCTGGGCTGAAGTCTGCTCTTCTGATTAGTTGCCTGTGAGTTTCTTCTTGCATCCTGGTGGCTACAGACTTGCTCTAAAGCCTCTATTAGGATATCCCTCAGGTGACTGAGCACCTTCCTTCTGCACCTACCTCTTCCAACAGTTTCTCCTAGGGTGTGGGTTCTAGAGAGCTCCCTTCCTAGACCTCCCCCCACCCCGACTCCCTGAATCCAAATGTTCAGGTGGGGCCTGAACAGTCAGGGACCAGAGGAGCCACCCTCTGAAGTTTCTTTTTGTCTAGCATGAAGCAGAGGTGTCCCCTTCTTCCACCCCTGTGGCTGGAGCAGAAGCAGTGCCATCAGACGGTACTCTCAGCAAGGCAGGGAAGAGCCAGGGACTCGGCAGAGTATAGCATGAGGGCTGACCTATCTGTGGATGCCCTAACGTTGCCCCATCTTGTGACAAGGGCTGGATGTGGCTTTACCAGTGCACTGGTGCCAGCAAAGTTATCCCTTTCCTTTTGTAAATCCCACCCCTGCCCCACATATTCTTAATTGTTGCTTCTTAGCAGTAGAGCCCTGTTTCTTCCCTCACCGCCACTGGGTGATCTACAAATCTCATTGGGAGCCTTGGTTTCCCCTTCTAAAACAAAATTGCCAATTGGAGTAAATTTAATTATGTAGATGAAGGCTGGCGCTGCCTGGCATCTACTAACTAAACATTACCATGTGTTTTCCCTTCTCTGCCTCTAGAATCTTTCCAGTCTGTGCCAGCTTCCACCCCCATACATCATTGCTCATCTAGCCTATTTGCTAGATAGAATTGGAGTGGGAATATTCCAGAAGGGGCCTTCTTGGCCAACTTTGACCACCATCACTAGGCTGATAATGTTACAAGCTGAAATGGAAGCAGCTGGTACAACTTGCTTCCCAAGGAGATGAGAAGGGGCCTTATGATGCAGGCTAACAGAACATGACCCTCTGAGGGTTCAGGTGCAGGCACCTGAAACAGACTTTGTCTGGACCTGGACCTCCCTTCCTTTGATCTCTTCCCTACTGGTAAGATTCTGCTAATGAGGTCACAGTTCCTGATCTGAGAAAAGGGATTTGTAGTGCTCCCTTGATCCTTCCAGCTCCTTAAGATCTTATAGGTGTGGCTGACTCATTGCTAAGTCACAACCTGAAAAGGAGCCCAAGGTCATGTAAGCCTCTGGTCTCCTACTTCTGGGAGGAGTCTTAGGCACACCTGTCAGGGAAGCAGTCTTGGTAGGGTGGGAAGGTTAAACTTTAAAGAATCAGAATCGGGTCTTGGGTTCTAGGCTCTGGTGGTTGAGTTGCTTTCCTCCCCTAGGTCTACATTTGGAAGTTGATTTCTATGTCTGCATCGTGAAAGCTGTGACCTCAAAGAAAGGAAGGATCTTAAGGCTGTGGGTCAGGCAGGACTGAAGCTTCCCTAGGGCTGCTCAGTCTTATGCAGTTATTAGAAGATGGACTTCTGATGATATTTTGTGGGGAGAAAGTATTCTGTGGTCCCAAGACTAAAATCCCAATGGTCTTATGGCTGTTAATGATTTGAGAAACCCATCAGTACCTCTAAGCTGTTGGGAATGAGTAGAGGGATGTTCTGTGAAGTTTGATGGTGTCCCACCCTGTCCCGTTGGCTCTATAATGATGTTGCCTGTGGTCTTCTTCTGTGGTATGATCTGGTCAGTTCTTTTCGATTAATTCCATGGGTTTTTGTTAGAATTCTCCAAGGATTGGTCTTGAAATCATTTCTTTTGGGAGGAACTCCAGGGTGTTCAGACTGTTTAAGCCAATGGCTTCAAATGTGCTAACCTGTCTGTCTGGTATCATTGCTGTTGACCTGTTTCCTTCCCAAACACTCTTGTGGTCATGTTTTATTTAGGTTGGGGCCTGTGAAAGACAGCTCACTGTTTTCCCTCAGCTTGACATCAGATCTCGGTTGGTACCTGTGTTTCAAGGTTGCTCATTAAGTCAGCAAAGATCTCAGGCATCAAAAAGCAGCCATTGTTTCCCTGGCTCTTACATCAACAATGGTTGCAACCAGGCCATTGACCTCTAGACCTCAGTCACCCCCCCCCCCCAAAGGAGATGACACTTGATGTCTTTGGAGCTCTTTTGGCTCAACATCCAGAGATTTCTTGTGATGTAAATGCTGACAGTGAGAAATACTCAGTTACAAGAGGAAGAGGACAAGGCCTGGCCCATCCGTGGATCTCCCTTTTCCCATTGTTCCTGGGGAGACACAAGACCTCATCCCACTGTATCAGGATAGATTCGGTGATTGAAGAGGGTCAGTCAATTTAGTGGGGATCTTAATGGGGAAAAGAACTTAGACAACGATGATGGGATTTGTCTCCCCTTTCTGTTCCTGGCCATTTCCTAGGACATATGGCCCCAGTGTCAAGCCCTTTGGTGGTAGATTGGTCCCTTCTTATAGAGGGAAGAGGCCATCCCTTCAGGTGCCTGCTGTTTCATGTTAACTCTTCTTGCTCCAATTAAAACACAGGGTTCAGAGCATTGGGTATTTATAGAAAGAGTATACACTAGGCCAGAAGAACTTGGCCTCCTAACAGTGGCCTCCACACAACGGGAAGAAAGTAAGGCAGGCCTCGCTGAGATCCTTGCTGATGGCAGACTCTCCAAGGTAGACATTCTGGTGGACAAGTTCAAAGTTGAAGTGGCCACAGAAGAAGCAGTAGGAGCCAGAAGAGCAAGCACTCAGCAGCAAGGGAAGATGATTGCAAGTCCAGAAGACTTTGAGACAATGAGACAGGAACGCGTGTGTGTCAAGGGAGGCCCCAGGGAGGCTGCCCAAGCTGCAGGCTTCACATCAACAGACAAGCTTCACCAGGGCTCCAAGCTCAAGATTAGAAGCCACCACATGTCAGATGGTCAGCTAGAGAGTCAAGTACAGCTGAGCAAGGGGCTGGAGGGGCTCCAGACTTGGGGAAGACCTCCAGCTACGGGGGTTGGGCCAGTGCAGGGAGAAGTTCTATCTCCTGCATCAGACAGAGGAGGGCTCCAGTCTTTCCTGTTGGATCCAGCCCAGGCAGAAACCAGAGTTCACTCGAGCCATGAGACTGATACCTCCTTCGCAGAGAGGAGCTTCTATCTAAACTATGGAGAGAAAGACGCTGAAGACCAAGTTCTCCCCCTACCCTCAGAGGACAGAGAAGAGCACCCGGAAGCCCCTCCTGGAGATGGGACCTGGATGGCGCTGGCAGGGGAGCACGCAGAGCTCTGGGAGCTGAAGCTCTCAGCCCCAAGGGGTTCTGTCCCAGGTCCCAGCCAGAATAAAGATGAAACCCATACGGCTTCCTCAGAGGAAGAAGCCTGGTCTCCCAGGGACCATGGGAGGCCTGCTGACCAGACTTTAGCAGAGGGCTGGGAAGGAGCACGGCATAGGCTGGAAGGAGAACTAGCCTGCCCAGTGGCTGGGGTAGCTGGAGATGATTGGATGAGGGAGACTGAGAGAGATCCCCCAGCAAGAAGGAAGAAGCACCCCCCTGGTGGAGGAGGAGGGGTGCACCTAGATGCCCAGGCCTGTGCCCTTCTGAGGACCATCCCTCCTCGTGTTAGGAAACCAGTCAGGCCAGACCAAGGCAGCTCTCTGTCCAAAGAGAGGAGGTTAGTTTCCACTCAAGCTGTAGAACCCCAGACAGAGGGCGGGGAGGCAGTCATTCCGCTGCCAGCCTCCTCCAGTCACATGGAGGTTCTGGCAGCTGTGGAGAATACTTCTCAAAGCCCAGTCTCTCCTGGGCCAGGGAAGCCTTCGGAGTTCGGAGATCCCTTTGGAGATCAGTTTCCTGTAGTTCCCGTGCCCAAGGACACACGAAGTTCACGCAAAGCGCCTCCAGTTGCCAGCAAGAAGCCCAGAGTTGTCCCTGAAGGAACCGAGGGGCCTGCATCCCTGGGATTTGTGTTCCCTTCAGGAAAGCAAAAGGAGACTTTACTCCAGACTGGGGACCAAGGGGGTTCCCAGGAAGATATTAGCAAGACTTCAGTGGCTAACAAGATTCGTATATTTGAGACCCATGGAGCGGAGACTTGCCGAGCCAGTCAGGGTGAAATGAGGACCTTTCCGCACGAGCTGCCTCCGGAGGCTTCCTCAGGGCAGGTAGAACATCAGCAGAATAAGCTTCTAGACTTGGGCTTTGTGCAATTGCAACCCTCTGGGGATTTGGCTAGCCCCAAAGTTACAAATTCTGTCATGCCTCTGGCAACCCAGCACCATGGGGAGAGCCCCTCTACTACCTCCCACCAGGAAAGATGCACAGAACCAGAGCTCGTGTCCCCTGATTCAGGCTGTGAAACCACGCTGGAGGAAGCTACCGGGGTAACTGGCCACGTGAGCCCCCACCCTCACCAAGTCCCCATTTGTGGAACCTGACCGCATGCTGTGTAGCTTCTTAGAGGCATGTTTCGGTGGCCCCTCGTCATTCCTGCAATGATGCTGCTCGTTCCTCCCTAGAAAGTCTTCTCCTTCATGGTCCTGAGAGAGCACAGGCTGAAAGATGGGGCCATCTGCTTAGCCTTTGTTAGCTTTTTAAATCCCCCGGCCTTTGGTGTGACCTTATGTCCAGAGGGTCACACAGTGGCCACAGAGAAGGCACCACCACCAGCAGCAAATTACATACTCGCTTTGCCTTGCTCGTCCCACCTGCTAGGTTCCTCCCTCTTGCTTGGCTTATCCAGTATCTTTCTTCATCCTTCCCCATCCCTGGTATCCTTGTGGAAGTTGGCAGTCCAGAGGATCCCTCCACTTTGCTTCCCTCTCCAGGCTCTTTCTTCCTCCTTAAGACTAACTGTCTTCTCTAATCCAGAACAAATCCGGAGATGCGGGCAGGGAAGAGAAGAACTTCTTCAGCCGCTTAGCACCAACCCCCCCTGGGAAGGGGGAGCGCCTGAGATTCGCCAGCCCTCTGGGCCCTCAGGTCTCTGCTGTCCCTCTGCCTCGATGACTTGGTCATCTTCATCTGGCTGGGATGCATCATTCCCTAGACTTTCTCTCACCTGCTCTAGTAGCGAATCCCCTGTGGCTGTTCACACTCTGGCTTGTCTGGAATGTATTCCTCACACCTCTCAACCTTCCAGAACCTGGCCAAGTGGAGGCTGGTTAACAAATGAATCTCTGAATCATACTGAACCTCCAGAGCCCGAAGCTGAGTTTTTTCAAAACATTTTGTGGGTGTTAGATTGGTCTTTAAAAAAAAAAAGAACAAATAACAAAAAAACGTGTGGTGTTTAATCCTTGACAGGCCAGTTGAGAGGTATGTATTTAGGACAAAGTTTGCTGGTTCTCCTTGGCCTGATGTTGTCAATTACACTGATGGGGTCAGAACTTCCTCTCCGTGGTTGCAATAGAGTTCAAGGTAGCACTGGTATGGCTCCCAGGAAGCTGGAGTCCTGGGGCCTTGGTCAGTATTTCTCTTTCCTGTTGTTGATGCTGACCCTCCCGCAGAGATTCAGTGCAATTGACAGGCTGCTGGCTTCTTCTGTGTTCCTCAGGCTCCCAGCTCCAGCCTCTTTGCCTCCTCTCCTGGGTTCCCCTGAATCCCTGACCTCCTTCCTCAGTGTACCTCTCAATGTCTCCTGCACGGATGGGCCTGTGGTCCAGGCCTTCATCCCTGCCTCTTGCACAATGCCGCTTCTGATAGGCTTTGGATCCTAGCCTTGGAGGGGCCTCCTGTCCAGAGCTCCCTGGAAGGATGTCAGCTTGCTTTGCTGTCCATGTGAGACCCTCCAAAGGAGCATCTTCGCTCTGAGAAGTTTTTGTTTTATTCTTTTGTGCTAGATTACAAAGAAACCTTTCTGGGGTGTGTTTTTCATTTCCTGACCTGCTCTTCCATTTGGGAACATCGTTGCAACCTTGAGATTTCTTCTGACATTCACTATCTTGACCTCTCTCTCTCCCTGCCCCATATCCCCATTCCCCTGCTTTTATCTGGCCGTAGAGAGCAGGGCTGAGGGAGGGCTCGGAGGAGAAAGTCAAACCACCACGTCCTCGTGCCCCAGAGAGTGACACAGGAGATGAGGACCAGGACCAGGAGAGGGATGCTGTGTTCTTGAAGGACAACCACCTGGCCATCGAGCGCAAGTGCTCCAGCATAACGGTTAGCTCCACATCCAGCCTGGAGGCTGAGGTGGACTTCACAGTTATCGGCGACTACCACGGCAGCGCCTTTGAAGACTTCTCCCGAAGCCTCCCTGAGCTTGACCGTGATAAGAGCGACTCTGAGACAGAAGGCCTGGTGTTCTCACGGGATCTCAAGGGCCCCTCCAGCCAAGAGGATGAGTCTGGGGGCATCGAGGACAGCCCAGATCGAGGGGCCTCCTCCACCCCAGAAATGCCCCAGTTTGAGGTACAGTGGAGCTTCATGGAGACCCAGTCCAACAGGCCACTGCATGTTCAGAGGGCCCTGGGCCGTGTGTGAGAAGACCAGCCATCAGCCGCAGCCTGAAGCTCTGTCTGGTGTTGCATGACTGCCCCTCCATAGAACAGCATGGTTCTGCAACCGCATGCTTGCTGTGTCGGTTCACCCCTAACATGTGCTCCATGGTGTTTTAACCCTAAGGCCCCATCGCTTGCTGAGGTCAAGTGATGCCAGTCTTACTGACGATTCCCTGGCCCCCTGCTTGTGTTGCATGGCACACACCGAGAGCATGTATCTGTGGACTCTCGAGACTCCTACAGCTGGTCTGAAACCTGAGTGGTTTCTCATGATTCAGGCTAGGGATCATTTTATTGAGGCCTGCAGAAGAAGCCATTATTGAAACCCATCAGGCCCTGAGACCTTGGTGTGGCAATGGACACTTTAGGAAAAGAGAAGACACAGCCTTTGGGGAGGATGCAGAGCCAGCATCTTTGCTTTGTGGTCCCCTTGATTTTCAGAAGCTCATCCTTGCCCGTTACCCATAGCTGAGCCCTCTGTCCCTGCCTCCCTCTCTTCTCTCTCACAGGCTCATCCATTCAGGGCTCTTTCTCCACGCTGTACCCTCTCTCTAGGAGGAAGCCTTGTCATCCTTTACTGCGCTTCACTTACAGTGATCCAGGACAGAGCTCATCCATCCTTCCCTGTGCTTTTCTGGCCACGTGGGCAGCAGTACTGTCCCCACCATATCCTGCCTGCTCCGCGCTTTGGCTCTAAGGTTCCCCAACACAGGCAGGACAGTGGCTGGTGGCTCTGCACTCCCACCAGGTGGCAGTCTCACACTCAACACTAAGAGATGATTAATTAAATGAGTGGCTAAATCATAGAGATCCCTCCTTCCTCCCTTGACCTTGTAACTACATAGCGAGCTAGATTCCAGTCATCAAACCTACAGTGGGTAAAGCCATGAACTAGGCCTAGAAAAGACTCAAAAGAAACTGATGTGTGGCTTGAGACACGTAGAGGACAGTTTGTAAGCTGGTGGTTTGGGCCACATGCGGCCAACTGATGCGTTTTCTCTGACTTTAATTAAAAACCATGGCATTGTATTTCCTTATATAATAAATAAACAAAGCAGAGGCTACAATAAAAGACGAACCTGAACAGAATAATCCCACATGCTTTCCATCACTCTCCGCCAGCTAGCCTCCTCGCCTGTTTCCTTCTGCTGCCTGGCCCCTGGATATTGCCATGCTTGTAATTCTAGCTTTGAACAGCAGCTTACATGGAGTGGCCAAAAGGTGGAGACAATATGTGTGTAAGGAAAACTCTGAGCATAGAGTTTAGCCTCTAAAGGACACGCAGCCCGTGGGGCATGGGGTCAGGCCTTCCTCATGCTGGGGGTGACTTTGCCTGTGAACAGGAGTTGTATCTGGGCTCCAGTTTTCAAGTGTGCCCTTCATGTCCCCATAGTCTGTGAAAGCAGAGACCATGACCGTCAGCAGTCTGGCAATCAGAAAGAAGATTGAGCCAGAGGCCATGCTGCAGAGCAGAGTCTCCGCCTCGGACAGCACCCAGGTAAGCAGTGCACCCATCTGTAAATGGGGGTGACCCAGTCTCCTTTCTCATGGGAGCGTTCAGTACTCAGGGCTTTCAAGCGGCTTGACAGTGGAAGAGAGGTTCTTCCCCAGGGCAGCTTGGGGGAGAGAGGAGGAATCTCAGTCACCTTTTGGTCAGAACAGCTCTCCTGGGTCATTTCTTATGCATGGAGGTTCCACCTTAGATTGGCAAGATGAACAAACCAAGGTCAAATGACTAAAGTGTCTGTGTTAGCCGAAGCTCACTTGCGCCCTGGGAAAATTGGCCTGCCTGCACACAGCACACAGCTCAATACATACTTACCGTGTGTCCTCTGTGGGTCTTCAGATTTGAAGATTCATAGGTCTGAGTTCATGGTCTGAGCGATTGCCCCCTGGTTTTTCTTGCCTAGAAGGGCTACGGTGCTCAGCCCCTTCTCCAGGTGACCAGTTTTTGTCTTATCTGCAATAAGGGCTGAGCAGGTGGATTGATCAGTGGCAGAGCCTTACCCTGGGTTCCACACCCAGCACAAACAACCTGAAATATGACACAGAGTCACAGAAGCAACTGTAGTTTTCAGAGTTCTTTCTCCTACTGTTACAGCATGCTAAGTAATAGCTAAGCAGGTGTCCACTAAAGAATCATAACCTGGGTCATCTTGGACAAGCCACTTGTCTTTTCTGACTCGCTTTTAGTAACTTTTTTAACCTTAAGTAAAAAGAAACCAAAAATTACCCCAAATCCTATAATCTGGCAGCTCTCGTCTTAAAAGACTGGATGACACTATTCTTGTGCTGTCTCCTGGGGGAAAATAGGCAGATACCAACACAGATGTTTACATCTGTTTATACTTAAAATTATTAGGTAACAGTGACCATTGACTTTTATACCATACCCCCTTGCTCTCAATAGTTTAGAACTTACTCATTTGCACCTCTCTGTGTCTCTGCCTCTGTCTCTGTCTGTCCCTGCCTCTCTCTTTCTCTCCCCGTGAGACAGGGTCCCTGCCAGGTATCCCAGGCTGGCCTCAGACTTTACTGTGCAGCTGAGGATTACCTTTAACTTCTGATCCTCCTGTGCTGGGATTACAGGTTGTACCACCATACCCAGTTTTTGTTTGTGGCTTTTAATGGAGGCTGGAATCAAACCCAAGCACTCTACCAACTGTGCTACACCCCCAGCCCTGTGTCCACTATTCTGAGTCTACTTAGGAAGCGTGTCCTAACCCATGTTTATCTCCCGTCACTGGACCCTGTGGTGGGTTTTATCTTTTCCAATATTTCATGCTGTGGTAAAGTTTTCTTGTTCATATTTCTTGGCGAACATTTAAAAGTACCAGTTTCTGTTGCTGTGATAAAACAATATGGCCAAGAGCAGCTTGGGAAGGAAAGGGTTGATTTTGATTTACAACTTTCAGATCATGATCCATCACTGAAGGCAGTCAGGCAGGAACTCCAGTCGGGAACCTCTGGAGACAGAGGCCATGGAGGGAGTTGCTTACTGGTTGTTCCTCCTGGCCTGCTCAGTCTACTTTTTTTGGTTTTTCAAGACAGGGTTTCTCTGTGTAACCCTGGCTATTCTTTCTGGAACTCGCTCTGTAGAATCAGGCTGGCCTTGAACTCAGAGATCATCTGCCTGCCTCTGTCTCCTGAGTGTTGGGATTAAAGATGTGCACACCAGCACCACCTAGCTTCAGCCTGCTTTCTTATACCATCTAGGACCACCTACCCAGAGAATGTCTGGCTTCTGCCTGCAGGCCAGTCTGTGAAGGCATATTCCCAATCGAGGGTCCCCTTTCCCAAATGACTCTTGCTTGTTTCAGGTTGACATAAAACTAACCAGTGTGATATCGTAGGGTAACTTCCGGTGGATTACTAGATCAAAGGTTGGGTAGGAACCATCAACTGCATGTGGCTACTCTTCTTTGCCCAATAGAGTGGTTGAAATGAAGCCTTTGAAGAGCCTTGGGCCCCTGGACAGTGCTCTGAGACCACCCCAGTGCATGCCCACTCACGAAGCCTGTCACTTTGTAACTGGGAATGCTGCAAGCCAGGTGACAGGATGCTGTAGGTAAGTGTGGCTATGTCATCTCTGATGCCGCCTCCTCTGCCTTGCAGGTTGATGGGGGTGCCCCAGTGGGGAAAGACTTCATGACGACTCCCCCCTGCATCACCACAGAGACCATCTCCACTACCATGGTAAGTGGGACCAGGAGGCTCCTTGCTCTGACCCACCTCTCACTGCCCCCCAACAGCCAGAACTTGGCAGCTATTTCAGGAAGTCCTCAGCCACCCTCTCGGTGGTGAGACAGATGACTCCTGTTGTCTGGTAGCTTGGCTGCTCTTGTACACACTGTCAGTCTTTGGTTTGCCAAATTTAATAATGTGGGGAATGGGGCCCCTGAGTCTCAATTATCTGGGCCATCCCAGCCATGCAGGAGTAGAGGGAGGGAGGAATGGTTTGGTTCTTGGCATGCAGAAATCTTGCAATACCAGGTAGACGATGAGCCTGAAAGTCCCCACCCCACCCCACCCTTATCCTCCTGCCAGCAAACCCAAACCGATCAGCAGCAGTTCCTGTGTCTCACTTTCTCACTGTGACCAGTAGATGGCAGCAGTGAACCTGGGTTGGAAACTCAGGTGTTTTGGACATGACTAAGGGTCCTTGAAGAGTTTGCTGTTTATTTGCTGTCTGACCAGTAAAGAAAAGCCCTTGGCCTCAAGTGTCCTCCTCTGTAAAATAGGAGTCACCCCCATTCTGTGTGGCTCACAGCTGCTTATGAGACCCCAGATCAGTGGTTCTCAACCGTCCTGATGCTGAGACCCTTTAAAAAGGGTCCTCATGTTGTAGCCATAAAATTATATCATTGCTACTTCATAACTGTAAAGTTTCTACTGTTATGAATCATAATGTAAGTATCTGACATGCAAAATATCTAATATATGACCCTTGTGGGGGGTCACGACCCACTGGTTGAGAACAACTACTCCAGAGCCCTTAACAAGAAAATAGGATAGCATTCTGCCACAGGTGTCAGACAGTCTGCTGAGAAATTTGACCTTTGGGTTATGAACTATGGTTATCCACCGTTCTTTCTTCAACATCCTTTACAAACGAGAAAACAAGTTCAGGGGGGTAAATCGGTGAACTCAAAGTCACATGACCAAAAAAAATACCAGTTTAGCCTTAGGCATTCTGACACCAGAAGTCTCAGTTTCATTGTTAGTCTCTCTGCTCTGCCCCTGTTCTGACCTGTGTGAGCATCAGCTTTATGGGTCTGGGGCTACCGAATGTAGCAATGCCTGATCCAGATATTTCTTGAGCCAGTGAGGTTTTTTTTTGTTTTTGTTTTTGTTTTTGGTTTTTTTTTTTTTTTTAATGACTTCCATTGTTTCTACCTGAGAAGATAATTTCACTAAATGAGAGTCCTCTGCAGGTGGGTTTTAAGTAAATAGACCCTAGGATCCGTAAACTTGAACCAGTCACCAGAGAGTATGTCAGTTTTCTCTCTCTCTGTCTCTCTCTCTCTTGCTCTGAGGCACTGAGATACTTGTAAGGCTAAATTTAAATTTGTCTTTATGATGAGTAGACAGTTATTTCATTCATTTCCTCATTCATTCATTCATCCATCCATTTGTTGGGAAAACATTGATGAGTGTCTACTGTCTGCCTAGCCCAGGGACCCTGCAGAAGCTCCACTGCCTACCAGAGTTCATTTGTTCAGTAGTCACCACAGTGCCTGTCCTGCATGTAGGTCTTGGGCACACAATGATGAGCAAGACCCAGCCCTCTCACTTCCTGGCTGGATGACCTTGGGCAAGTCACCCGACCCCGTCTAAGTCTTCACTACCACTTCTGTAAAGTGGGGTGGGAGCAATAGAGCACAAGCCTTAAAGCGTCCCTGTGAGCATGAGCGAGTCCCCTGTGCAAAGCCCCCAAGCACAGCCTGGCCTTAGTGTCTCCGGTTGTCAGCTGCTGCTGTCTCTCTCCTGCCCTCATGGAACAGTGCAACAGGGTTACCCCAGAGACCGCTGGGATGAAACTGAGTGACACCTCTGCCAGGAGGATCTGGGGAAGGCGTCACCTAGTCAGGGACAGTAGAGCTGTGAGTGACGGTGTGGTCACAGGAGAAGGCCTCCAGCTGTGGAGAGCAGGTGTAAGGGCAGGTAGCACAGCTGGCCGGTAGGTGTGTACAGGAAGCGGGGAGGGCTGCAAAGAAGGGCTGAGTCAGGCCTTGAATTGTTTCCAGTGCCATGTAGGATGTTGTAAATTTTGTCCTGGAGACAACAGGGGACTGGTGTGTTTAGAGTAGAAGCTTGTCAGCAGGTGCATGTGTTGGTTAGGGTTATCTGCTTGTGTGGAGTGGGGCTTCCCTCTTTGCCCTCCTCCTTCCTGCCTCTTCCCTTCCGTTAATAAATATTTATTGAACGTCCACGATGTGAAGTACTGTGAAGATTGGTATTGTGAATCCAGCCCTGGAGAAGATAGCATCTCTAGTCCCGGGACCCACGTGAGGCCAGAAAAAGAAGGTGGGAACCCGTCTGAGGGCTGGCTGGAGTCTAGCTAGGCCACTGCCAGGGTTCAAGAAGTTAGATGCAGCAGAGAGTTAGGGATTGGAGATCCTGGAGCAAGAAAGTGCAGTATGTGGCCACTGGTAGGAAGTTCAGGTGACAGGACAGATGGACTGGGGACAGTGTCTGCTGGCCAGGGTTCTTACAGTGTGGTCCCAGGTGCCTGCAATACAGGCACATTCCCTCACCCTGCTCCTATGCTTCCAGGTGATGCCCCTCAGGATAGTGTGAGGGGAGTGTGATGTTTGTATGTTAGGTTCAAGCAGCCAGTTCTACTGCAGATCTGACGAGTGTGAAGCACCTATGGGGTGTTTCCAGGGAAAGGCTCAGGAGACTATTGATTCTGAAGATTTAGGGTTCAAGAAAGATCTGAGCTACAGGTAGGAGACTGGCATCTTTGAGGCAATAGAATTCCCCGGGTATCTGAGGGTTGAAATGGGGGGGGGGTGCTTTGCCCAGGGAGAGAAACTGCTTCCTTGATGGGAGATGGGACTAGCTATAGATACAGCCAGTGCACCTAGGTTTTGAACAGTGTAGGTCCCATTTAGTGGCTTCTGTTTTCACTGCAGAGATGGAGGTGAGCTTTGAACACTGGCCTCAGGACGAGAGGGAAGGCAGAAAATAAGAAACTGTATGTGAACATAGTAATAGAAAGACTCAAAAGGACTAGTGGCTGTTCCCTAAGCCAAAGAGAGAAAACATGCTTAGAAATGGCCTTTATGGTATGGGAGCCAAGATGTTTCAGGGAATATGCCTCAGGATGGTGTGCCAAGTGGCCTGGTCACCGACAGTCAGGGCAGGAGCAGGTGTAGCAGAGGCACAGTGCTTCCCCCATGCTGTGGCAGGAAGAGAGTGGTCCAGGTCCTTGCTATGCACAGACCAAGCTTGGGGTCCATTTAGCTGAGACACTGCATAGCAAAGCTGAGATGGAGATAACGCAAAAGTGAGAGACAGCAGGAAGAGTTTTAGTACAGAACAATAAGTCCAGTAACAGAATCTAGAATAAGACCAGGGGAGCTGCTCTAGAGCGACCATTCCAAGGGCAGATCGGTGGTTCAGATCACGGGCACCTAGCAGCCCTGGAGGCTGCGTGGAGTTAACTCCTGCTTCCACCACTGTCTAGCTGAGGAGTTGAACAAGCTACATACTGAATTTCCCTTGTGTGTCCTCTGCAGAATAGGATGCTACCAAGGATTGCCTTCAGTGGTTATGAAGGTTAAATGAGGTCTCATGCATGCAGGTACCAGGTACCCAGCAGAATGCCTAGAGCCTAGCATGGACTGGAAGTACAAACATGATTCATCCACCTGCGCTCCACATTCACCAACAGCTTTTGGTTTACAAAGCCCTTTCCCTATATTCTCCCCCTAAGGGCTCCCTGGGAATATAGATGAAGGCCCCTTTTCACAGACAGTTGGGAGGAAGTGACTCTGCCTCAAGGTGCACAGCAGATCCAGGACAAGAGCTGGGCGACCCAACTCCTTTTAGTGCTTCCAGAGAGCAATGCCAATCTTGTTCTCCTTGGCATCCCTAATAGCGGGGATTCAGTAAATGTTTGTTGAGTGAGTATGTGAGCAAGCATGCGAGTGTGCGTGGGATTGAGCAAGTGAGGGCTGAATGAATGCCTCAGCTCTCTGCTTCAGTGTTGCTTCTCAAGACCGTGGTGATGATAACCACTTGGTCACATGCCCTGACTATCCTGGAGGCCTACTGACCTGAGACCTGGCCATCTGAGCACTATTGTCTCCCCAGGAGAACAGTCTCAAGTCCGGGAAGGGGGCAGCTGCCATGATCCCAGGCCCACAGACGGTGGCCACGGAAATCCGTTCTCTTTCACCGGTAAGTAGGTAGGGCCAGCTCAGGTTAGGGGACTCAGAGCTGAGCATGCGGGCACATAGCCACAACAAGTGCAGTGAGGGGCTAGGGGACTCAGAACCCAGAACCGAGTGTGCCAGCACACAACCACAGCAAGTGCAATGAGATGCTCAGGACCATTTCAGATGGCCACAGGCTCCCAAGGTGCACATGAGTAGGCCCCTGACCCAAGTAACCAAAGCATTGGTATCGGGACTGGGATTAAACAGGACACCTGAGAGCGCGCGCGCGCGCGCGCACACACACACACACACACACACACACACACGACACAACACATGCGTGCATGAACAAATGCACACACATGCATGAACACACACTACACATGCATGCATAAACACACACACAAATGCATTTATGAACACACACACTACACATGCGTGCATGAACACATACAAATGCATGCATGAACACACACACACACTACACATGTGTGCATGGACACACACACACATATGCATGAACACACACACACATGCATGCATGATCTCTCTCTCTGCATCAGCTTATAGAGCAGGAACAGCAGGGAACTTGGAGTCCAGAGCAAGCTGAGTCGTCACTGAGGTTTTTCTGGTGCTTTCATTCTGTTTGCTGTTCTCAATGTCTAGTCCAGAGAGAGCATGTTCCTGCTTGTGACAGGATGAGGGCCTGGAGGGCTCTGTCTGCGACCTGAATCCATCTGGTCATTCTTCTAGGAGTCTTCCATTCTAGGTCATCATTAGGACTCTGGGCCTTAGGGATTTCAAGTTCTAAGAGTTATAGATCCCTGGGTTTGGAAGTGTTCTAGGTCTAGAATTGGAAAGAGTTTGGTATTGTATCAGAATGAATGGTTCAAAGCACCGTGGCTTCCATGCTTCACCATCACAGGACCTTGCTTATCCCTGGGAAAGTTTCCCTAGCCCCTCCTGCCCCTTCAGAGCCCAGTGCCCTGACCTGACCCCCGGGGTGGGGGTGGTTATATTCTGCAGATCATCGGGAAAGATGTCCTCACCAGCACCTACGGCGCCACTGCGGAAACCCTCTCAACCTCTACCACCACCCATGTCACCAAAGTGAGTAGCAGCAGGCTCCCGGGCCCCAGCGGGCTGTAGGTGGGAAGGTCATTGCCATGCTGACCCCTGGCTCCTCATTCTCTAAGAGGGGACCTTTGCCAGTATGCAGTGTGTTGCCCTGAGCTACTGTTGTGTTGCATACAACACAGCCTTGGCAGCTAGTCTGTGGGGTCAGATGTCCTCCTCCAAAGTAATTGTGAACAATGGTGTTCACAATTACAGGCCCTGAGAGCCAGGAGAATTCAGAAGGGTGCTGTGTGGGAAGCTCCCCAAAGTCAGGATGTATCATTTGGAAAAAGTTGCTGTTTGTTTGACCTGGTAGCACAAGCCTCTAATCCTAGCTACTTAGAAAGCTGACAGAGAACAGAAAAGCTCAGGCCAGCCTGGCCACTTAGTGGGGCCCTGCTTCAAAATAAAAGTAAAGAGGACTGGAGATATTTCCCAGTGGTATAGTCTTTGCTTAGCAAAGGTTTAATCCTTATCAATCATTGTACAGTCTTCCCTGCCCTCCCATCCACCCAAAAATAAAACCAGAGAGAAGAGGGTTTGAGTAGGGTCTTGGGACTCGCTGCAGGACGCCTGAGAGTAGAGTAGCCCAAGGGGCAGAGACACTGTGTATTCACTTCTTTGTTAAGCAAATGTTAGTAAGGTCAACCGTGCTGGACTCTGGCTGCTGGTGGAGAGTAGGTGAGGTGTGAGTTTAGGGACCAGGAAGCAGTGTGTAATCAGGGGACTGGGAAGTTAGGATGCGCTTGGGGCCAGGAAGTACAGATGGGGGCAGATGTGAGCGGCACCAGGCACTGGGGCTGACATGACTGTGGCGAATCTTAGTCACAAGGAAATGGAACTTAGGTAGTGACTCAGTGAAAATAGGCTCACCGGAGCTGGGGGTGGAGCTCAGTGGCCCGGTCTGTCTCCTGTGCACAGCAAGGAGAGAAAGGAGGTGCAGGGAGGCAGAGGAAAGAGAGCTGTCAGTATCTGCTAAGAACGAAGGCTTGGGGGTAGGACTTGGGGACAGAGGAGGACAGGCCAGAGGAGGGAGGCATTCCCTATGACAGCCAAGGAATTAAGAAAGGCTTGGAAGGAGGCTGCAACAAGTCCACAGCTGAGTGGCCAGGAAAAAACGGGAGAGGCCCAGCCGTGGCTGGAGGCCTGAGGAGCCAGGCTGAGCCTGGGGGGTTGAGCTGAGGTCCAGCTGACCTAATGACTTGAAAGTCTGGTTGGTAACACTTTCCTTTTGTCCACACCACACAAGGCCCTGCCTGCAACCTTGTCACATTTCTCCCAGGAAGCAACCTCTCAAAGAACCTGCTGGTTTTATGGGAATGCCTCACACGGCACATCCCACAGTGTGTGGCTCAGGGAACACTCCTCTGTACTTCACCTCCCAGGGGCCCCTTCTGCTCACCCTTGCCTACCTCCTGCCAGTCTTTCCCTCGGTCACATCCTCCTTGAACGTGTCTAACAGTTAGGCCCTGCCCCATTCTCTACTTGGAAGCCGCACTCCTTGAGAAAACAGTAGAGGCAACAAAGTATCTTTGTAAGATTGTTCCAAGTCATGTGAGGTAGAACCTTGTCACCATTCACATTTCATTCATGTGTTCATTCAGCAGGTCTGCATTCAGCACCGCCAGGTGAGACTGGAGAAGGTGCTGGGTGTGGAGGGGATCTGAGGTGATAAAACACAAGCCCCACTCCCCAGGGCTTAAAGCCTGGAGAGGCAAAGAAGGCTATGTCCACATAGGTCAGCACCATGCAGAGGCCCAAAAGTGTGAGAGATGTAGACTCAGGGTTTGGGGAGGGCTGGGACAGGATGCCTTGGAACCTTGCCGAGGGAGCAGGGAGCAGCATGTGTGGGAGACATAAATGTGAGAGTTTGGTGGTGAGGGAGTGGAGTGGTGAAAACTTGGCAGGAGCTACTGCCTGGAGTCCTCAGCCTAGAGAAGGAGAAGGCTGAGGAGGGCAGGAAGGAGTGAACTCCTGGTTCTCAGCTGGGTTAGGTGACTGAGGTCTGTCACAGCAAACCTAAGAGGGACCCGCCTTTCTCTCCCCTGCCCTGTCCTTCTCTCCCCACAGACTGTGAAGGGAGGCTTTTCCGAGACAAGGATCGAGAAGCGGATCATCATTACTGGGGATGAAGATGTTGATCAAGACCAGGTATGGGGCTAGGGGACAGTGTTTCCAGGGCACAGCCCAGTATCCTGTCCCCCCTGGAACGGTGTCCTATGGGTGGCTACCCTTCTGGGCAGAGAAGGCATCCACCCCCTGCTGACCCCCAAGAAGGGGCGTTGAATGGGGGGCGGAAGAGTCAAACTCTAGTCTCATCTTCTAATTGTTTAAGTTGGCCCCTCCTGGGCCTCAGTTTCCCCAGCTGTGCAGCAGGGGCTTGTGTTCAATTTCTCTCACAGTCACTGTTCTGTGGTGCCTCACTATGCTGTTCTGCCCACCAGGCCCTGGCTTTGGCCATCAAGGAAGCCAAGCTACAGCATCCAGACATGCTGGTAACCAAAGCTGTTGTCTACAGAGAAACAGACCCATCCCCGGAGGAGAGGGACAAGAAGCCACAGGTCTGGTTCTGGGGCTCAGCAGTGTGGGAGGGAGGAGGAAGCAGTCCAAAGGGTCTTAGAAGCCAGACGGTGGTGGCACACCTTTTAATCCCCCCCACACACACTCGGGAAGCGAGGCAGGCAAGTCTCTGAGTTCAAGGCCAGCCTGGTCTACAGAGTTTGTTCCAGGACAGCCAAGCTACAGAGAGACCCTGTCTCTGGGGGGGGGGGGGAGAGATGATTCTTGGGAGAGTCGTTTTCATTAAGAGCCCAGGTGACATGATTGGTAGTGCACTTGTGACCCTCACCTACCAGGCTTATAGCTCTAAAGAGAGAGACAGTGGCCTCACTTTAGACCAAAGGAAGGAGAGAGAGATGGTGTCTTGGTTTCTTTAGAGTTTCATACCCTAAGTCCAGAAAACAAGTCTACAAGTGGCAAAGAAAGGGTGCTGAGGATTGACAGGGCACTGACGTAAACAGAGGCTCTAGACAGTCTGGGTGCCTCATTCCCATCCCGAGCCTCTGTCTCCATCAAGGCCATGAGATATTACCAAGAGAATGTAATGCCTAGGGCCTTTGTTCCATCTGCTCTGCTGGCTTACAAACCCAGGACTTCTCAGGCCCTCCAGGCCTACACTCCTGGGACCCCACTATCTATTTCACTGAAGTCATTAAGGTGCCAGATATTGCAGTGCTGAGACACTGGGGAGAGCTCTTCTGCCTCTCTGGAAACTTGCTGAATTTTATCAGATGTAGAAGACAAACGTTTCACAGACATGGGAAGTGTCTACTGTGCGATTCCACTTACTGGAAGTGAATAGCAGGCAAAAACTTTTATTCTGTTGGGAATAAAAATAGAATACTGCTACCTCTAGAATGTGCCAGTGAAGAGCTATAAAGACAATTTGTAGGGAATGTTTCCAACTGGGTGGGCCACATGAACATACACATCGGTAAATTTTTTTAGAGCTGGGGTTTAGCCTAACAATAGAGCAGATGTGTAGCATGAGTGAAGGCACCAGGATCCATCCTCGGCACCTGCCCTCCACAAGAAAAGTCCAGCTCTTATTGCTGTTAGGTCTGTGCACTGTGCACAGCTCATCCATTACACTGTAAGGGAAAACGCCCACCTCAAAGGCCCCACAAACAAAGGCCCTTTTCTTGAGTCAGAACAAGAATCCTCTTCCTTTGAGAGCTGACTTCTGAGGGGGAGAAGTGCTGATACATTTTCCTGCCATTTGAAAGGATGCTGACCAGGGTCTAGACAGTCCATCCAAAAAAACGTCTGTGATGGTGGCAGTGTTGTCTTGGAGAGTCACAAATCTCTCTCTTGCCTTCTGTTTCCATATGCTTTAGAAGCCACCCCGACTCTTAGTGAGTCACTCCCACTAATTCGGGGGGGGGGGGGCTTGTTTCCTAAGGTGCTTGAAAAACACTGGCTTAATGGATAGATGCATCATGGTACCCAAAGAAGAACCCTGTGGTCCTCCAGCCCTGAATTCAAATCTCAAGCCCTCCTCTTTTTGTACTCCCTCTACCCTTTTTTGGAGATGTTTTGCCCTTTATCCCAGGCTGCCCTTGATCTCGGTATCCTCCTTCCCGATCCTTCTAAGAGGTGGGATTCCATGCAGGCACGCTCACACCCAGATTCAAGTCCTCCTATCATCAGCTCTATGGCCATAAGAACTTATTTGTCCCTGACATCCTGTGTTTTTTTTTTTTTTTTTTTTTTTTTGATCAGTTAATGGGTACCAGCAATCCTAGCGGTATCCATTGCTCTTATTCATGGAGGTGCTTATGCTATGCCAGGTGCCAGGCTTCGTACTGTCCGCTCAATCATTTTACAAGTGAGGAAACAGATGCTCAGAGACTTTAACTGGCTTGCCCAGAGCTGTGGTGCTGGGAACAGGATGAACTGATTAGTGGCAAGCCTAATGTGTTAGACTCCAGAGACACCTGTGTTCCTCACCACTGACTTCCCGTAGCCTCTGTCTCATGGAGATCATACATGAATGGTAATTTCCATAGTGCCTGACACACAGTAAGGGTTCCATAGCAGGTAAGCCCGTCACTACTGTTAGTCATGGTAGGCTATCAATGGCTGTCCTAAACCAAGAAGAATGAATTGTTATGCACAGTATTATTTAGGTCCCCCTGGCCCGACCCCCTCAGAGAGGATCTGTCTCCTGAACACTGCCACCAAAAGGACAGCACTTACCAGGCTGCCTAGAGCTCCTTCCCCTTCCCAGGGTTACCTGTGTGGTAATCTTGGCTTCTCCCTTCACCCAGCCACCTACTTGCTAAATCATTAACCTTCTGGGCATCATTTTTCCTCTCATCAAATGACCCAGAAGGACTCTTTTATGACACTTTGATTATACTTGATCCTATGTGGGTGACAAGAGTCGGGAATGCTGTTCCATGTACAAATGGTTTTGAGTAGTTGTCAATAGTAAAGGTAGGTAAATGGTAGCCCTTGCTGTTGGCGAGATGGAGGCAAGGGCTATGATAAAGCGAGTAGAGCAACAAGGCATCTACTTATTCAGCATTCTTTTATGCTAGACCCCCTCTGTGGTGCCTCCCACCTGTGGAAGGCAGGTCCCATTTTATAGAGAAATTGATGGAGGTTTAAAGAGGTTGAGACACTCACCCACAGTTACAGAGCAGACAGGCCAGAGGGTGGTATTTGAACTCTGGGAAGAGTGGCTGCAGAGTTAGCACTCTCAAACTCCAGTTCTGTAGGTAGCCCTTGGTTGGAATCAGACCCTGGTTTTTTTCTTTAAGCACTGCTGTCGGGTGTTTAGTCTCCAGGCCACAGTAGGTCCGCGGGGAGCGAAGACCTGTAGCCAGGGTCAAACAGCCACAGAGCTAAGAAGAGCAAAGGAGAAAAGTAAAATGGTGTGACTGGGGCATGTCCACATTAAAGGACCACTGAAAAGACTTTCAGAGCAAAGTACAAGGCACTGTCTCCTCAGGATCAAGCAGCCAAACACATATGGAGTCTGGCGTTAGGTGGATTTGCCATTCCTTAGCCGGCACAAGTAAGCTGTGTGACCTTAATAAGTCACCCTTTCTCTCTGGGCCACGATGCAGGGTAAAGGGTAGCTAGAAGAACTGCTTGCCCTGTGTTTCAAGGTGAGTGGCTAAAGTAACCAGTTTCCCTTATCTTCCTTCCTTTGTACCCACTACCCGATGCCCCTGCCTCTGGCACCCAGGAATCCTGACCTCCGTGAAGAGATGCTGGCGTGTCTGGTCCAACCCAAGCCAGAGAACCATTAAGAAGGGGCCTTCATTCTGGATTCTCCGACAACACCAACATCCCAGCTGCGACGTACTGTCACTGATGAGAGACTGGGAAAGGAAAGCATATATATATAGATATATATAGATATAGATATATATACAGGAAACACCGCGTCCTTGCACTGCTGCTGGGGCTGGCGGAGCAGTCAGCTGATGGCAACAACCTTCATTTCCTTTGCTGACGAATTGAATTGGTGGGATTTTTTTTTTTTTTTCAGGAAAATGTGTAACAATCATAATCTCTTGCTCCCCCACCCTTTTCTCCTGCCAAACTACAAAAGCAGACCACAATGATTGTAGATGTCCCCTGACCCCTGGCTGTACACACTCCAGGATGGACGAGCACCCCGTTTGTTCTCCAGCCTCTCTGTTGCTCCCTCTAATGCAAAGGAAGAAAAAAATAAGATCACGTAGCCAAGCAAGAGAAGTCACAGCAGCAAGACACACACAGTCAACTATTTTCCAAGAAAGAAGGAATGGAAGCCTCCCACTTGGAGGAGGGGAGGAACGCCCGATTGTTATTCTCTGGGTCTTGACACTGGGCTGCAAAACCCCCTCTCTGTTCCTCTGCCTCCCTGCTTCCCCCTTGACTTCTACTCATCTTGTCTCCATTTTCTGTCTCAGCTCCCTCCTGCCTCTCTCCCCCACCCTCCTCTTCTGTGGCCTGGTCCTGCTGAGGGCCACTGCAGATGACTCTCGTTGGAAGAAAAAGAGACTACAAGAGCAAAAGGAAGCCATGGGAAGGGAAGTAGACGTTGTATGTTTCCGGTTTCTCATGACGAAGGTGATTTTAAGTTATGTATATTACATGTAACAGGAAACAAATATTAAAATAAACTGTGCTGGTAAGTATGCAGCTGACATTTTCAAGTTATAATTACCTGACTGTGATGTATCCCAAGGTTCCTAGATCTTGCCAAACTGGCCCAGCCGAGGACGCTGGACTCTGGGTGTGGCCGGCTCCCAGTAGGGCTGACAGATTCAGTGTAGTGAAACTGTGTGTGGTGTTTGTAACTGGGTGATTGGTGGGGAGCCTGGGGGGCACTTAGTGGAGAGGTAAGGGTTTGGCCAGAAGGAAGCAACACAGATGTAGTCCCGAACATGCCAGGCCAAGATGCCTTCTCCCCGAGCAGTAGCTATCAGGGCCTGGTCTGTGCTCAGGACCCTGCTGCTGAGGCCATAGGCTAGTCCTACCTCCAGGGGCCTTGCTGTGGTTTTCAGTCCTCTCTTTCTGTTTTACGATTACCAGGGTCTTTGTTTTGGTTTGTATTCCGCCATGTCTTGCCCTGCTCGTCACCGCCTTGTCACAGTGAGTCCCTGATCTTAAGGGAGGTGGTACCCTGGCCGAGGCAGAACGCAATGGCTCTAACCTGGTTTTCTGAAATGCCCAGCCCGTCTTCCCCTCTGCTGCTTCCATCTTGTGAACAATGCTCTTCTTCCTGAGCTAAAGTGGCCATGATAAAGAGACCATGAACACAGGGAAGGCCATGATAGGCCCATACTGCGTTCCCAAAGGCCTCACCCATCCCAGAACAATAGCAGGTATGAGGAAGTGTTGCCCACTGGCTCCATCTGCATTAAACCCTGGCTTGCACGACTGCTGTCGGTCAGTATCCAAGCTCAGAAATGGCCTTGAGATGACAGGAGCCCTTGGAGAAAACCCTGCCACCAACTTGGCATTGCACTCTGGCATATGCAAGCTTCTTCTGGCTTGTATGCCACAAGAGATGTCCCTTTCTAAGAGGAAATGTCCCACAGAAGTCCCATTTTACTTGCTAGCCCCACAAAGGCAGTTCGTATATTTATTCAGTAAATGTTTATGGGTTGCCTGTTTGTGCCATGCTCTGTTTTCAAGGTGGAAGGAGAAGCATAAAAGGAAATGGGGGGGGGCCTGGGAGGCCACTGGACAAGCCTGCCCCTAACCATAGCTGGCTCATTTCAGAACTTATCCACTCCCTCCGTCTGATAAGACATTACCTGGAAATGTATCAGAGGGCCCAGGCTAGATGTGCCCCCTGGGCTTGCTTATTAGTTGCTCCTATGATGTCCACCTTACCTATTTACAGGTGCTGACCTGACACGGGGCAAGAAGCTAGAGTAGCTTTTCTCTGTGGCAGCTGAGAAGTAGAGCCTGGCTCTTAGATTGCAGAGTCCGCCATATACCCCTGGTGCAGGCTAGTAGGCCCACTCCAGGACATTTTCTCTGCTCCAGGATCTTTGTCCATTGATGGAGAAGTCACAGAACCTCCTGCCTGCCCTTTACAACATGCAAGCTCCTGCTGCTTCTGAGCCAAGAGCAGGAATGGCTCTATCCCCTTGCAATTGGGCTCAGGCCTCACCTGCTTCTGCAGGAACTCCCTGGCCTGTACATCCTGGACATACATACCTCAGAGGGAGGATCTTTGTTGGGAGGGTTGCACCTGCCCTAAATGTGGGCTACAGGGCAAGGATGAAATGGCCCAACTTAGCTTGTGAGATGTTAGAATTTGGGTGATACTCTATGGATGTTCTGACCTTCCCCTCTACCCCCAGAGAAGCAGTCAGCCCAGGGAGGAGGGGACTTGCAAAGCTAAAATCTAGGGCACTGTTTCCTCCCCATCCTCCATTCCATAGAGAATAAGGATTTTCATTGTCTTGTCTGTCTGCAACCTATTTTTCTTTTAAAGTTTGTGTGTATGTGTCTCATCTTCTCTGTGGCACCTCTCTATCCAGGGGGCCAGGTAACAGGGTGGGAAAAGCCTCAGAGAGCAGTCAGAGTTCTGGGTGACCATCAATCAAGATGCAGCTCCTAACTCACCATGTGACATTGGGCTACTCCATCCCTCTGAACTAAATGAGCAGGGCAATCTAGTTGCAGCCTGAGCCTTTTTTTCCACTCTGTGTCTCATGCACCTTCATTTCCCAACTTTTGCTTTCTGTGGGTCTTTCCCATGTGCGGGTACAGGGAGGGCCAGGACCTGTTTCAGTTTTTGAATCCTGCAAGCACATATCAAGACTGGCCTGAGATTGCATGAGCAACATCACTCTAAATATATATTTTTTTTCAAAAGCACCTTACCAACCAACTGCAATGCTGTCCTGTTCCTTTTTGCTCACTCCCCTCTCTCGTTCCCCTCGGTCCCCCACCTCAGTGCTCCGTGCTGTATGCGTGTGCTCTCTGTTCTTGTATACTCAATAAAAGTGAAATAAATGTGTTTGATGCTGACCCATGGACTCCCTCAGCCTTCCTTTTCTCCCTCCTTTCTCTCCCCTGACCTTGGCTGATGGTACAAGTTGATTTCGCACTGGAGTGGAGATAGCCCAGTGTAGAACACTTTTCTTTTGTGTTTGAGACAAGCTCTCACCATATAACTCTAGCCTGAAACTCAAAAACATTCTCCTGCCTCTACCTTCCTAGTGCTGAGATTGAAGGCATGCACCAAGCCAGGCTCTAACGTAGAACAACTTTAACAAAGGTCAGAGTTCCCACTGTGTCCCAGGCTTTGGCTTAGGCTCTGCGGGTTCAGTGGCACGCAGGGCAAAGTCCTTGCTGGTCAAGGGCTCTCAGGCCAGTGGAGGAAACAGTGAGTCAAGGAAGCCTGGTTAGAGAGGTCAGCGCTAGGAAGGAAACAGAGAAAACAGTGGAGGTTACTAAGAGGGGGGGGTCACTCTAACAAGGCCAAAGGCTAGAGTGTGTACTTAGCATGTGCAGGGCTCTGTGTGTGATCCCCGGCACCAAAAGGGAAAAACAGTGGTCAGCCAGTTAAGGACCTCCCTAAGGACGTCATTTTTTCAATAAAGAGGAAGATCCAGTAAGGCAAAAATCTTGAATAAGAACTTTTTGGGCAGAGGGAACAGAAGTATGTGGGCCCCAGGACTTGGAGTGGGGAAGTGTAGCATAATCCATCTGGAAGAAAAGCAAACCCCCTGTAGAGGAGCCTTGTTTAAAAAAAAAAAATGTGCCCAGCAATCCTGTCACATGTGCTCCACATCCTCATTAGTGACACTTTTCTTTAACTCACTTTGAAAGAAGGAAGTTAGGGGACTGTCAAGATGACTCAGTGGGCAAAGATTTAGCCAAAGCACTTGCCACCAAGCCTGACAACCCGAGTTCAATCCCCAGGCCCTTCGTGGTGGAAGGAGAGATCTGAGTCCTGAAAGTTGTCCTCTGATCTCACATGACTCACATGCTTTTCTAGACAGACAGACAGATACACACACACACACACACACACTCCATAAAATGTTAAAAAATAAAGATAAAAATAGAGCGAAGGATAGAGTTTGCCTAGCATGCACTAGGCCCTAGGTTCAACACGACAGTACCACAAAAATTAATAATTTAGCGGAGTAGTGGTGTCAAAAGCCTTTGATCCCAGCACTCAGGAGTCAGAGGCAGGTGGATTTCTGTAAGTTTAAGGCCAGCCTGGTCTACAGAGTGAGTTCCAGGACAGTCAAATTACAGAGAAAAATCCTGTCTCCAAAACAACACAAATTAATAATTTAAAAACTAATTCCAAAGGTAAATAGCACTATTTGCCAAAGAAAAGACTATACACAGAAATAAATGGAAAGGGCTGGGGTTGTATATAGAAAGTATGCTGGGTGAGTTGGGGGAGTATAGTACTTGCCTGGCATGCACACAGCCTACAACAAAGAAAGGAGTGAGTAAAGGTTAAAATTAAAATCATAATTATGTAAAATCTAAATTTATCCCTTCTGCATTTTCCATTTTATCCTGTCAAGAAAACCACCCAGGTCACCCTTCTATATCACTCCAAATCTCACAAAACAGGTCTTTTGTTTTTCAAGACAGGGTTTCTTTGTGTAGCTGTGGCTGTCCTGGAACTCACTCTGTAGACCAGGCTGTCCTTAAACTCAGAGATCCACCTGCCTCTGCCTCCCGAGAGCTGGGACTAAAGGCGTGTGCCCCAATTGCCTGGCTAAAACAAGTCTTTTTTTTTTTCACATATATTTATTTTTCAGAGTCAAAATTACACATATTTACCATCCAAAATACTTTTGAAAACTTTCACTCTGAACATTTTCCTGTTGTTTCAGATACTAAGTATTACTGCTTTTCTCTGTAAAGCCAGTTCATTAACTGATACAAAGGCCACAATGACAAGAACCCACTCTTCTTCAGAGGTCTATGTATTGTGAAAGGCAACACCTTCAAGGAGCTCTGTGAATGTGTTCTAGAACTTTCCTTGTAGGTTTCTTTTAATGGTGATGACTTAGGATACTGCAATAGAACTTAGTTTACAAACATTAGGATTCCATGCCTCCTGGACCTCTAAAACTAGTCTCTCTGCTTCCAGGGAATAACTGGGGTAGTTCATCTAAATCAATGTATTTCTCAGCCTTGGTTGAAGAGGGTGATGGAGCAATTCTAGAGACATTCTTTGTGTCATGGTTGCCCAGTGTTCCATGGATTGAAGCCTGGGTTTGCTGTTAAACTTATTCCAATGCACAGAACAGCTGTCTGTAACCAAGAATTACCTGGCCCCACATACCAATCGTGCCAAAGTTGAGAAATTGTGGTTTAGATGAACATGGTTCACAAAGTTGGATTCCCAGAACACTATTGTCATATCCTATAACTTTTGTGTGTCCAGTGTTAAATGCCCTGAGTCTCTAAAAAGACAGTGAAGCCACCTGGAACAGGAAACCCAGAGACCAGACCACAGAGCTCCGAAGATGGTCGTGGAAAACAGGTGGGGGGGGCTGAGCTGCTTCACATAAAAATGGAACTGACAGGGTGGGTTGAGATTGATGTGCCTGATAGTTGAACATCACCTCTGGCCAACCTTGTGGCAACCCAATCAGATTAACCATGATTGGCCCATCTCGTCTGGTCTGAGATGATTCAGCCTCCTAAGAGATGAACTGTGAAATTGTGAGTGGGATAGAATGATGGATTGAGCTGTCACTGGGGAAGTATGACAGACAAGGAACAGCAGCACAGGGACCAGAGCTCCAGCTAGATCGTGTTTTACACCCCAGTCCTGTACTCTCTGGGTCTGTAGTCCCTCTTTGAACCTTGGCTTTCTTTTTTGTAGATTGAGAATACTAATTATCAAATTTTCTTCTCCACCCTGGGTCATTTTTCTCTTAGAATTGTAGCACCAGCAGCAAGGGAGACTTATTCTTGGTTAGGGACAGAAATTGGAGACAAACTCAAATCAACTTGACCGACTAGGGTTAGGGAGATGCAGATAGCATGCCAAAGAAAAGAGGCTAGTAAAGGGGCTAGGGTACTCATAACTTTCCCAAGGAATGGCAGGGGCTTTCCAGGGGTTTGGGCACTGCTTTTATGGTTCCCTTTAGTTGACAACTGTCATAGTTCCAGAATATGCCACTTAAAAGGCAGATAGATGATAATGAAGTTGGAGGTTATTTGTCTTTTGCTCTGTCAGCCATCTTAGATTTCAACTGTTTGGGTAAACTCACCTGAAGAAGAGATTGGAGGTCTTCAAAAATCCTGTTTGCAAAGATAGTCAAGACTACAACAGGGTAGAAAATCATGTAGGTAAAACCAGCAGTACAAGATTAGGGGAGTGTTACACATCGGCTATGGTTAGTGTAAAGATTAGAAATATTGGTCTAGTGGCCTACACTATACATTTTGGTGCTGTTTAGCTAGCCCTCACCACCACAAAAGACATTTCTTTGCAAGACATGCTAGGTCACTAGTGGCTCTGGGACCTAGCACAAGGCCAGACCCACAAATAGTCATTTACTATATCGCATTATTGTTATTTGCAACTAACACACAATATTTCTAAGATAGCTAGCTGTGGGCTAGGTTCTAAAGAAACAGTGAAGAAAAGGACAGGCAGGTTTCCTTACTCAGTGCACATTTATAGCATGTCTGTGGTGCTCTGTGAAGCTTGCAAGACACTGTTAGGTATTCTGGGTGATCTTTGCCAGACAGCCTGCTTTGGTGGCTGTGGAAGGAACCATTCTCCCTTCAGGCAAGTGCCTTGGTTTCTGAAACTCTATGCAGGGATGGGGGTGTCTAGAAGCTGGGACTGGGTGGTAACAGGGCACCTTTGACACTGTGACTGGAATAGTGATGTGACTAAGGAGGGCTAACCATGACTGAACTAGCTTAACTGTGGCTACCGAGTGTCAACTCCTGGACCATGCTTTGGTGCCCATGTCCGCTTGAGACCAAAGGACTGTGGCTGGGGAGTATGTTTCTGGAAGGGGATATAAAGTGAATGGTTTAAATAAAATTGTTACCCACAATCCAGGCGGTAAAATGAAACAATAGGAAAATGCAGTGCTCTATCGGGAGGAACCTGCAAGCACGGGCCATTTCTTCTGTGGCCTGGGGCTCCGCCGGACCACTTTTTTCGGAACACCTATCCCGTGCCAAAGCCGCCGAACTTCCCGTTTCCGCGGAGCGGAGCGTGAGGCTATGTGGTGAGTGTCAGCTTTTGTTACTTTTTTTTGTCCTCTGATTTCGTTGTGTACGACCGGGTCACCTGACTTGGCTTAGAATCGCGGAGTGCACTTAATTAGGCCTCTGACTCCGAGCCGGCCGAGTTTGTGGGTTTGTGGGCTGGTGTCTCAGGAGGCCTCAGAGAGAGCCCGTCACCAGGACTCCGTGATCAGGCATTCTGGGGCCCACGAAGTAACTTTTTTTTCCTCCCTTACTGTAGAGCTTGGGGACCAGAGACCTTATCCTCATTCGACCTGGTTCTACCATCGTCTCTGCGTGGCTTCTGGTAAATCACTCACCATCCTTCTGTCTTTATTTAAATGCGTTCTGTATTTTATTAAATAAAACTTTTAAGCATCGCGAGTGTACTAGGGATGTAGGACTCAAGTCTTGTGGTTATGACAGCCCTCACTCAAGCACACAAAGTTGGACCGACTTCGACACACCCAGAGTATAATCATAGAACTCTTGACCAGTCAGGGAGACTTTACTAAAGTCAGGAAAGAAGCCAGTGTGGCCGGACCAGTCCTTGGGAGTTGGGGTGGTATTAAACCCCTGAAGGGTTGCCAAGGGCATTTCTTTCAGAGTTTTCGGGGCATTGTAAGAGATTTATGTTGCCTAAAGCCACATGAGAAGCCAGAGAGAGCGTGCATTGAGGAAACCTGTCCTCTCTGGGCTAGGGAGGTGGTGGATAGTGTGAGGAGGTGTCTGTGTGTGCAGGATGGTGAAGAATGCATCCTATATGTTTGTTTCAGATGTTGTTGACTGTGAACGACAGTCTCAAAGACTTTCTGTGACCACATGTACATATAAACACAAGTCTTCAAGGTACCATACCCATCCTTATTACTTGTGGCATTCTGATAGCTTAAAAAATTCTGTTTGTGGCCGGGTGTTGGTGGTTCACGCCTTTAATTCCAGCACTCAGGAGGCAGAGGCAGGCGGGTCTCTGTGGGTTCGAGGCCAGCCTGCTTTACAGATGGAGTTCCAGGACATGCTCCAAAGCAATACAGAGAAACCCTGTCTGGAAAAACAAACAAAAATTATATTTTTGGTGCTGGAGAGATGACTTGGTGGTTGAGAGACCTGGCTGCTCTTCCAGAGGACCTGGGTTTGGTTCCTACCACTGTCATGGTGCTCACAACCATCTCCAGCTCCAGCTTCAGGGAATTCAACATGATCTTCTGGCCTCTGGATGACTTTTTTCATTATTTCAGATTAGCTGTATGTCTAAAGCTGACTTCTTAACTCAAGTTGTGTCTTGCAGTTTGAAAAAAGTACTGATTGAGAGTCATTTCTTGTGTTTTTGAGGTAAAGACAAAGTGTACTTCTAACATTCTTTTGTAAAAAGGATGGTTTCATACTGTCTTGTTTTAAAGAAAAGAGTAAACAGAATTAAGCACTTGATTTTTCTGTTTGTGAATTTTGAGGTCATGTTGTGTACCTCTGTAAAATGAAAATACCTGGTAGTCTGGAGTCTTACTCTGCGGATGCTTCTGTTGGGGTCCAGTAAAGACCCTGCATAATGCAGGTAGTCTGAGTGTTTGCCAGTTGAGTTAGTAAGTAATTTAGTAGTAAAAGTTGAAGTAGTTGATTGGCTGAAATTGGTTCATATTGAAATCATTCTTACACCTCAGAGGCAGTGTCTGCTACAGAGTTGTTTTTAATATTGTGTGTATGTGAGTGCATGATGAGGGGTCACATGCTGTGGCCAGTGTGTGCAGGACAGACACTGTGGGTTCTCTTTTCTCCTTCCACTTTTATGTGGGTTGTGGCCATCAAAGTGAGGTTGTCAGGTTTATAAGGCAAGTGCCTTTACTCATCGAGCCATTTGCCAGCACTCTGCCCCTCACTTTGTTTTTAATCAAAGTGTCTTTATAGGGAATTTAAATGTGGGCAAAATAAAGAGTCTAAGCTCCCCCTCAAATACTTACTGTCGGCCTGCCATATCTCTTCTGGATGAATTGCAGCTCTTTGGGAAGTTGTTTGTTCCCTGGACTGTAGGTGTTTCTGTTTTGTGCTTGTTTGTAAGACAGTGTCTTATCCAGGCTGGCTTCAAATTCACTATGTGGCTAAGAACAGTGTTAAACTTCTGACCCTCCCGCCTCTATCTCCCATAGATTTGTGTGTGTGTGTGTGTGTGTGTGTGTGTGTGTGTGTGTGTGTCTGTGTGTGTCTGTGTGTGTGTGTGTGTCTGTGTGTGTCTGTGTGTGTTTTTAAGTTTCCCTTGTGCATGTTAGACAAGCTCTTGGCGAACCATGTTCCCTCTAGCTGTTTTTATTTATTATTTTTGAGACAGTCTCTAGCAATCAAGGATGACCTTGAACTCCTAATTCTTCTGCCTCCATTCCCCAAGGGTTGGGAATAGAGATGTGTACTACTGTACCCTGTTAGGTTGTTTTTATTTTGTTTGTTTGTTTTTCGAGACAGGGTTTCTCTGCATAGCTTTGGAGCCTGTCCTGGAAACTAGGTTGTTTTTAAACAAGGGGACTAATCCTTTATTTTCTCTCATTTCAACTAGATTTTTGATGAGTTTGAAAAGCTCTCCACTCCTCAAACCTTTTGTTAATTTTAGATGTTCATGGGAAATTAATTAACAGGTTGGTCATCCTTGACAGATCTTATGGTACTCTCTGGTAGCATGTTTTAGGTGGAATTGTAGCTTACAATGATTTTAGCATGGTTCTTGTTTAAAATGGGCCCTGTGTGTTTTTCCACCCTTCCCCTCTGCTCTGAGAAAGACTTGAGTGCAGATTCTAAGAGTGTGCAGTGGATGCAGGCCTGCAGTGCCAGCAGTCAGGGTTTCATTCCAGCACTGTGTGACCTTGAGCGTAGCAGCACCTCTCTGTAGGTGGTAAAATGAAGACTTGCTTCTTAAATCAAAATCCAATTTTCCTAGAGAGATGCAGAGTTGGACACATCTTAGGCAGATGCCGGGTTTTCATGAGGATTAAGGGAGTTAATTCTGTCAGGATGGAATTCAATATGTGACATCTAGAGAATGTACAAGAAATGAAGTAAACTGTTCCCATATTCTGGTCAACTGATTTTCTTTTCTCTCTGCTATTCTAGAAGGCAAGAAAGAGTACTACTTTTGGTTACCCGCTGGTGCCATGGCGTCCATGCAGATGGACCCTGAGTTAGCCAAGCAACTCTTCTTTGAAGGAGCCACTGTGATCATTTTGAACATGCCCAAGGGGACAGAGTTTGGCATCGACTACAACTCCTGGGAGGTGGGGCCCAAGTTCCGGGGTGTGAAGATGATCCCTCCTGGCATCCACTTCCTCCACTACAGCTCTGTGGACAAGGCCAATCCCAGGGAGGTGGGCCCTCGGATGGGCTTCTTCCTTAGCCTGAAGCAGCGGGGGCTGACAGTCCTGCGCTGGAATGCTGTTCAGGAAGAGGTAGACTTGTTTCCAGCTCCAGAGGCTGAAGTAGAAGCTATGAGAGCCAATCTCCCTGAGCTAGACCAGTTTCTGGGACCTTACCCATATGCTACACTCAAGAAATGGATCTCACTCACCAACTTCATCAGTGAGGCCACCATGGAGAAGCTGCAGCCCGAGAGCCGGCAGATCTGTGCCTTCTCAGACGTGCTGCCTGTGCTTTCCATGAGGCACACCAAGGACAGGGTGGGACAGAATCTACCCCTCTGTGGTACTGAGTGCAAAAGCTACCAGGAGGGCTTGGCCCGGCTGCCTGAGATGAAGCCCAGGGCTGGGACAGAGATACGCTTCTCGGAGTTGCCCACTCAGATGTTCCCAGCAGGTGCCACACCAGCAGAGATCACCAGGCACAGCATGGACTTGAGCTATGCCCTCGAGACTGTGCTCAGCAAGCAGTTCCCTTGCAACCCCCAGGATGTACTTGGTAAGAAGGAACTAGGCTTTGGGGGGAAGGATGCTGGTGGCCATATTTTAGCATAGAGTTCTTAAAGGAGGCTAGAAGGTAGACTCATTAGTCATTATGCATACATATGTGTCTTTACCTTAGCCTAGAGATTTTTGTTTTGTGGTTTTTTTTTTTTTTTTTTTTGAGACAGGGTTTCTCTGTATTGCTTTGGAGCCTATCCTGGAACTCGCTCTGTAGACTGGGCTGGCTTCAGACTCACAGAGATCCACCTGCCTCTGCCTCCCAAGTGCTGGGATTAAAGGCATGCGCCACCACTGCCCAAGTGCTGCTTGCTCTCTTAATTTAAAATAATATGTATTTATCACAGAATAAAAACAAAAATAAAATTTACTCCAAGTCCTACACCTAGAAATAACCATTTTCATAGTTTATTACATTTTTTTCCTTTTCTCTTTTTTCCTGTGTATTTCTATATATTTCACTTGTCCTTTCATTATGTAGACCAGGCTGTTCTCAAACTCACAGAGATCCGCCTGCCTCTGCCTCTTGAGCGCTGGGATTAAAGGTGTGTGCCACTACTGCCCGGCTATTATATTTCAGTCTTGAACTTGAGGTATATTCTAGGAGTACATGTGACTTATAGGAACAAGATTAAAGAGTAGTGTTTTGTGATGTGCTGAAGTATTTCCACATCACCGCTCACCTGTTCAGTGTTCAGAGCGACAGCCAGTTCTCAGCGGTCATTCCTTAAGATGCTTCTCTTCTTCTGTTATAAATAAGCCTAATAAGCACTCTTGAGTGTGGTTGTGCTGAGCTTAGGGTTGGACTGTTGCCAGATTTTGCCTCCTCACCTGGTGGTAGGAAGTTGTTCATCACTTTTGATAGCACTCTGCATGGTTTCTTGGTGAAGGCCTTTTCAATTCAGTGGTTGAAAAGTGGCATCTTGTTTCTATTTCTTGAATACAAATGGCAGCAAACGTTTGTCCTGCTGTTTGCATGTGTTCATGCATGTGCCACATATGGAGCCAAAGGTCAGCCCCTCGGGAATTATTCCTTAAGCCCTTACTAACCTTTCTCTTTTGAGACAGGTTCTCTTATTGACCAAGAACTCACCAGGTGACTAGGCTAGGTGACCAGTGGACCCCAGGCATCTGCCTGTCTGCCTACCCAAGGCTGGGATTGTGAGCACTTACACCACCACTCCAAGTTTTTAATTTGGATTCTGAGACCTGACCCTGGTCCGTGGGCTTGCAGGACAAATACTTTACTGACTGAGCATCTTCCCAGCCCTGTTACACCTTTAACTCCTATCCTTACCTTCTTATAAATTGTCTAGGGCATTTACATAATTTCCTGACGGTGGAGATTGGTAAGAAGATTGCTTATAGACCTTTTTATATCCTTCGCTGAACTGAGTATACAACAGACATTTTAATGGATACATCTTAATGCATGACATAATAATATAAATGTAATTAGTGTAATTAATATAAATTTCTCTGTGTAACAGCCCTAACTGTCCTGGAACTCACTCCTTAAGCCAGGCTGGCCTTGAACTCACAGAGATCATCTTGCCTCTGCCTCCCAAGTGCTGCAATTAAAGGCATGTGCCATCACGCCTGGCTGTCTCATCCTTTTTATGGTCCATATATACATAGCTTAAATTTATGGCTACCTTTGAAGGCAGGGAGAATGTGTCTGGTGAGTCAATGTGAGAGTGTTCATTTATTTAGAACCAAGGTCTTGCTTTGTAACCCTGCATAGCCTGGAACTTGCAGTGGCAGTGGCTTCCCTCAACCACCCCACCTCCTAAGTGCTGAGATTACAGATCACATCACTGCACTAGCTCAGGTATAGTTTATCTGGCAGGCAGACCCCTTGATGTTTGCACACAAGTACAGTGGCTTCCGGATTGCCAGGTCTTTGTTGGAGACAGGAATCAATTGGAAATTTGAATAGGAACTGGCATTTTGAGTACTACTTTATGTCCCATATAATGTTTTTAATGTCCCTTATTATCCTAAGTGTTTAACAGGCATTGTAGTAAGTAATTTACTCTTCATTATAACTCTCAAATAAGAAAATGGAGGCATAAGTAGATTATGAAATTTGCCTTAGGTCACACCATTTCTAAGTAGTAGAGCTAGGATTTGAATGCAGGCAGTTTGGCTCCAAAGCTCATGCTCTTAGCCATTAGTCTGCTCAGAGATGAAATCAGCCCTGTGATTAAATAAACAAAACAAAGCTGACTGGTAATAATTATGTATGTCTGTGTGTGTGTGTTATGTATATGTGGGTATGTGTATGAGTGCAGGTGCATCCACAGACCAGATGAAGATATCAGATCCCCTGCAGCTGGAGTCACAGGTAGTTGTAAGATGCTTGTAGTGGGTGCTAGGAACTGAACTTGGGTCCTCTGAAAGAGCAGTAAATACTCTTAACACCTGAGCCACCTCTAGCTTTGGGCAGCTTTGCTTTTGATCTATTAGTAATTCTGATGGGTATATTTAGGGTCTACCTCCTAAAATGCCAGGCATGTAATGGTACTACTGCTTCTCTTGTGACCCTTTTGTTTTAAATAAACACCTAGCCACAGTTTGGTATCCCATGGTTTGAAGTTTTAGCAGTGTAGCAAATATTTTCTGAATGCTTGTTGGATGCAGAATCGCATCTTAAGTTCTGTTGGAGTGACAACGGTACTAAGGTCCCTGTTGCTAAGGTCTAGTGTAAATGATGGCATTATAAATCATGTAGGGAAATGTCAGCTGCTATGCCTTGCTGTGAGGATCTTAGCTCTTCTCTGTACCTCTTAGGTGAACTCCAGTTTGCCTTTGTGTGCGTCTTGCTGGGCAACGTGTACGAGGCATTTGAGCACTGGAAGCGGCTCCTGAACCTCCTGTGTCGGTCAGAAGCAGCCATGGTAAAGCACCATACCCTGTACATCAGCCTCATCTCCATCCTCTACCACCAGCTTGGTGAGATCCCTGCCGACTTCTTTGTGGACATTGTCTCCCAGGACAACTTCCTCACCAGTACCTTACAGGTGAGCAGACTGGGCTGACACACGTGGGGGTCAGCAGGAAGGCACCCATGTGAGAGCTCCCTCAGGAGGGTCACCTTTTTCTTTCTTTCTCTCTTTCCATGACCCTAATAATTGAGTGTACTTCCTAGCCTTGAGGTGTTTCCTGGTTCTCCATCTTCTTCTGCGTGGTAAGCACCTCTGCCAGAAATCCTCTCTGTGACCTAGCACTGGGTACTTAGAATTTGAATTCTTTCCATCGCTTTGGGCTACCTAACTGTGTTACCAGTTTTTTATTGCTATACGGCAGTACCTGAGGCAGTCTACTTTGAAATAAGGGGGTTTATTTATTAATTTATTTTTTATTTCTTAAATTTAGTGTGTGCCATGGGAGGTCAGAGCTTGTGTAGGTCAGAGCTCAGTTGTGGGAGTCATGTGAGTTCTGCAGCCCCAGCAGAGGTTTATTTAGCTCATGGTTTTAGAGGCTTAGAGCTGAAGACCTGTTGGCCATCCTGGTGAAAACCTCTCTGAAGAACCCCACTATTGGTACATGAATCCTTCCCAAGAGCACTGTCCCAGGTGAGCTAAGAACCTCTCACCAGGCCCCACCTCTCAGCATCACCAAACACAGGGAGCTTCCAAGGCATGAATGGGGGGGGCAGGGTTGGGGGGAGGGTAGATAAACCACAGCTAACCCAGAGTACCAGTGCAGACAGCTCTAGGTCTCGCTGAAGCTGTAAGTTGCTGCAACCTAGTGAGATGGTTTTGAAGCTTGTTATTCCCAAAGAAACATCTGCAGCTCCTTAGATCTCATTTGAGCATTAAAGTAACTTTGATTTCCTGTTCAAACAAAATGTGCCAGTTTCTACAGAGATTCTCTGACAGAAAAAGTGAAATTTGCTTTTAACTTGGCAATTAAATTTTCATTATGAGTGGTAATTAGGGAAGGAGCTTCAAACAACTTAGAATCTTCATCCTGTGCTATTTCCTTCCCCTGGCAAACAGATTAGTGTCCTTCATGTACTTGGGCAGCCTCTGTCACTCACATTTTGTAACTTTCTCAAGTGTAGCAGAGGCAGAAGCAGCTGGTTGTCCATGCCCATAGCTTCTGTGCCACCACTGTCTTTCTTCTCCCTGTGTGGGATGCCCCGTAAGGCCTGGTCCATGCAAGATGTTCCTCACCTCTCATCCGCCCCCCTCACAGGAGAAAGTAATATTGGTTAATGCCTGTTGGATAGCAGACACCGTATGATGTCTAAGTTACTTTTTCTGTTGCTGTTATAAAATAACCCAACAAAAGCAACTTGCAGGAGAATAGTATTTCATAGTGGTGGGAGTGACAGCAGCAGGAGCTGCACAATTCAGAAGCAGAGAGCGGTGAAGCCTGTGTTTAACTCACTAGCTTCTCTTTATATATTCCAGGATCCTAGCCTAGGGACTGATGGTGGATCTGTATGCCTCAATCTAGTTACCCAAGTCCCTACAGGCATACTCAGAGACGCTTCTCCTAGCTGATTCTCAATCTGTCTTATGAGGTTGGCAGTTGAAATGAAACTTCACATGTGGGCTTCCCAGAACCCTGTTGGACAGACCAAATCATTTATTTTTGAAATAAAACAAACTAGAAAGGTTACATTATCGACTTAATTTCACACTAGAAAGTGGAAATCAGGATTTGCATAGAAGCTTGGAACTTGGTTTGGCACTTGTACTTTTGTCCCAAGGTACTGAATGCAGCATAGATCTCCACCCACCCAACCCCCCAGAAGTCCTGTTGCAGAGAAGAGATCACTTTTCCAAAACTGTCATGCTATTGGAAGAGTCTGAAATTAGACAGTGAGCAGTTGCCTGGAATTCTGGCATTTGGAGGACTTGTGTGGACTGTGGTGATGGCTGAGCCTAGCATGTTATCAAGTGATGGCTGAGCCTAGCATATTCTCCCTCAGAAAAATTAAACTGCCTTTTTCTGTTTTTTATAGAACAGAGAAGCCAAGTCTCTGTTCCTCCTCCATGGGGACCCTCCTCACTGTGAGGAGTCATCAACTGCTAACAGGTCTCCATTGGTGGCTGCAGCCGTGGGGAACAGTGCAGTCTAGGAGATGATGTACTTACCCTCATGATGTGAGTGGATGCTCTCATACAAGCTCAGGAAGGCCATGGTGTTTTTGGCTTGTGTTGCTACAGGGATCTCAAGATACCAAGAGCCCAGCTGGATTGCTTGATGTCCATGTGGGTTTTGCAATGCTGATGCTTTGAAATTTTCTCTGGACAAGACATTTGATGTCATGTGGTTGGTTTGGGGTTTTTGTTTTTAGACAAGCTTTCTAGCTCCAGCTGGCTTCAAACTCCCATTGTAGCCAAGTATGACCTTGAACTTCAGATCCTCTGTTACCCACTTCCCAAGTCCTGGGATTATAGTTGTGTGCCAAACACACCCAGTTTAAGTGGTACTGAGCATAAAACCCAGGGTCTCACACTCCACTGCCTGAGCTATACCAGCTGATGCCATTATTTGAAAAGTATGTTCAGGACATACTTACACCTTTAAAAAACTAGTAAATGGTTTTGTGCATCCTTTACATATATCATTCCACTGAAGTTGTTGAGGAATAAAGACTTAGCTGGGAGGCGGGTGATGGTGGCACATGCATTTAATTGCAGCATTCGGGAGGCAGAGGCAGGTGGATCTCTTTGAGTTCAAGGCCAGCATCCTGATCTACAAAGCTACACAGAGAAACCCTGTCTCAAAAAAGGAAAAAAAATAAATAAATAATTACCTAGGGTTCCTGTCCTTAAGGATTGCAGAGGTACTGACTGAGCACCTGCTGTATACAAAATTTTGTTCTAGAAGTGAGAATATAGCTGAAGAGTGTCAGAGGCCCTGACAGCTGGAAGTAAAGAGATGAATTAACTAAGAATCCAAACAGTGAATAGTGGTGTTAGAGAAGGTGTACCTGCTCTTGCACCTTGTCCTACCCTGAGCTTTTTGGTCTCTCCTGGACTGCATCCGAGTTTGTCAGCCTCCAGGCTTACCTTGTTAAACCATCTGCTTCCACACTGCTGCCACTGTTGCTCTGATCCTATTGCCTAGGAAATTTAAATGAACCAACTTTGGCCCTGAGGCTCAGTGTTCCTTGGCTCTTAGCCTGTTCTAGCTGCTGTTTCCTCCTATCAAAGTAGTGTCAGTGGTCTAGTGGTCTGCTCACAGCAAGTTCCCAGACAGGCCATGTTGTTGTAAGCTTTTTCTTTCTTTTGAGATGGGATCTTGCTTTGTTTCTGAGGCCAGCTTTGAACTCCTGGACACAAGTGATTCTGACAGCTCAAACAACTGGAACTATACACATGAACACTGTGCCAAGACTTCCTTTGTTTTAGTCCTAAAAGCACATCATTTGAGTTCAGTTTCCTCTCAGTGTTCAAAGCAGCATTAACTGTAAGCATGTTTTTCAGAATGCTCTCTATCTAGAACCTCATGTAATGGAAACTTTACACCCTTGTTTCATGGTTTTTGAACTGAAGCTAATTCTCCACAGCCTGTCATGTCCTCGCCATACTCCCTCTCTGTGAGGCCATCCCTTATCTCTGCCCTCTTCTAGTATCTTAGCCTGCTCTGTACTTGCCACTAGCATACTGCAAGGGTTATGCTTCTAGATGTTAATGCAGCATTCCCCACATAGCCATCAGCCTGCATTTTTTTTCCCTCATTGGTTACTTTCAGCACCTAACATTTGACCTGTGTTACGGCTTGATCTTTACATGTAAATCATTGATGATTGTTTTGGCAGTGTAAATATATGCATGAACAATACAGTCTAACAAAGGGCATTTGACACATCGAAGAAGAAATGGTGGATTCTGGCTCTGAGGGTTAATACTTGAGGGGCAGTAGGGTTTCTGGAATAGCTTTGTGTGAGGAACATTGATATTTTGTTTTTTTGTAATTTTTTGTTTTTCCAGACAGGGTTTTTCTGTGTAGCTTTGAAGCCTGTCCTGGAACTCACTCTGTAGACCAGGCTGGCCTTGAACTCAGAGATCCGCCTGCCTCTGCCTCCCAAGTGTGAGGATTAAAGGGGTGCACCACCACTGCCCAGCTGATAATTGATATTTCAAAAGCACAGTGTGGACTAGAATATTATAAAACTTTTTTTTTTTTTTTTTAATGTCCTGGAAGTGAAAATCCTACCCCCACGCAGAGGCATTCACTTGGGGTGTTTGTGACTGAATGAATCAGACCTTAAAAGCTTCCTCAGCTTGCTGCCTGCTCTCCCCAGCTAGTCAAGTGGAGCTGGCTTCCTTGCTTAGAAGCAGAAATATCTACTGTCCGTGGAGAGGGTTGGGGTGTGTGTGAGAGAGAGGGAGAGAGAGAGAGAGAGAGCACTTAAAGGCATTAAAGACAGCCATAATAGCTTGCATAAAACAGTCCTATATGACCTCAACCATTGATTTTTTTTTCCTCCAAATTTCCCAAGTGAGACACTTGAATAAATGCCAATGTCTTTTACAAATCCCTTGGATTTAGCTAGAATAAAAATGATTTGTTTTACAAAAAGTTTTTTTCCCCTTTCATTTAAAGTAACTTAGTTGACCATAATTTGTTTAAAGTCAATGAAAAGATAATCTGGAATTAGTAGTGTGTTGGAAAGAGTTATGCACAAGCTAAGGATTCTAACTGCTGATTGCATAGTATTTAGACATGTAGTCACATAGCCCATGGTGTTTGGAGATCTTGTTGCTTTTTTATAGCTGTAGATGCATTCCGAGCAAGCTTCATGCCTTATTACTATTCTGGGTGTCATCTCTAACAGTTATATCTATAGGGTTTTCGTTTGTTTTCTTATTTTTGAGATAGTGGGGTCTTAACATATCTCATGCTAGCCTCAAACTCACTATGTGGAGTGTGATCTTTAGCTTCTAATTCTTCTGCCTCAACCTCCCAAGTGCTAGGTTTAGAGGCAAGTGCCACCATGCTCCATTAATATGGTGCTAGGATGGAGTCTAGGACTTTGTACTTGTGAGGGGTTAGA